GAACACGGAGGCTCCTTCCTAGGCGATGCGCCGCGCCCGCTGGGAGCTCCTTCCTGGACCTCGGGGACGAGGCCCCCGAGGGAGACGGGGTGGCCCCCTGGTTCGTGCAGGTCTCTGTGTCCGGTAGGATCGCTCCGCCGCTCGCTGACACGTGGGCCGAAGCAGCACATCCCGGGGAATCGAAGTCCAGAGCGATTAATGATTATCTCACACCCGCGCTGTTTGCTCTGCGGTCGAGGGAGACTTGCGCGGCTGCCGGGGCGTCTGCGCTCGACTCTGAGACCTGCCCTGGACTTCGTGGCAGCCCCTTCCCTGCGAGAGCTGCCGTCTCCGGGGCTGACACCTAGTCTGGAGGGACACAGTCCCGCCTCCTTCCCCGAGGGCCACTGCAGCCAGGGGCCTGGCCCCTTCCCGCCCGGGCCGCCGGCTGCTCTGGGGAAGGACCGAGCGCCGCAGGCGCCGCTGTGCGACGGGGCACATGCCTGCCGTGTCCCTGCAGGTGCCGCTCACCCGGAACCTACCTAACCCCTGGGGTCCAGCTCGGCCCGCGCCAGCAGGAGACACATGCCTGTCGTAAGGCTTGAGTGCCTGCCTGCCATGGCCCGGAGAATGGGGGAGAAGACTACGCAGTCGTCCTGAAAAGTAACATCTGTTTGAGCAGGAGTGCACGTTTCATGAAACTCGGGAGGCCTGGGCCCTCCCCAGCCTGTCTGTCCGGGCGTCCCCGGAGGGGCCGACCCAGGGGTGCCCCGCAGCCCTCAGCCACCTCCCTGCCACCCACCAGGCCTGGGGTGTCCCCGGATCCTGCTTTGCCTCCTGACGGGGTCCTGACGCCCTCAGACGAACCGTTGCTCCTCTTGAAGTGACTCTTGACTCTTCTCCCCAACTGCATCCCTGTCCCCTCTGGTCACCTGGGGCCACATTCCTGTCACACCTGCACCCCCCCCCCGCCCCCAGAGCCCACCTCTGTGTGGGCCAGCAGGGGCCACATCCCACCATTTCCTGGGCTCCGTGCTGGAGGAAGGCAGGGAGGCGGGCTGGGGAGACTGTGGGGGGGGGGAGCTTTCAGCCGAGGGCAGGGGTGCGAGTGGGCGCCCCAAGAGGGACGGCCTGGGAGGCCCCCCGCACACGACCTCGCTTCTGACTGGGCTGGCGTCGGGTGGCGGTCCTGACAGGTGCCCGGGCAGAGTAGCCAGACCAACTTCTCAAGTGGTCATATTTGAGAATCTTAAACATTCCCACTTCAAGAATGTTTTCACTATTATTCTTTTGTGAACCGTGGCAAAGCACGCCGAACACAAAATGGACCGTCTCGGCCGGTTTTCCGGGCACTGTTCAGTGAACCCTTACAGTAAATCCACTTGGTTGTCACCACCCTCCAGCCGCAACACGCCTGTTGCCGTGCAGAACTGCCACTCTGTCCCCGTAAAACAATCCCTCTCGCTGCCCCTGCCCCGGCCAGGGAGACCTCTGTTCTGCTCTCCGTGTCTGTGAGTTGGACCCCACCGAGCCCCGCACGGACGAGGAATCCCACAGGATTCACCCTCTCGTGGCTCGTGTATGTCACTCAGCGTGATGTCCCCGGGGCCCATCCACGCTGCAGCCTGCGTCTGAATCCCTTGCCGCTTAAGAACGAATGATGTCCCACTGTCCAGGTGGACACGGGTTTGCTGCTCTCCGTGACGGGCAGCGGGCCGCTTCCGCCGCTCGGCCGCCATGGCGAGCACACGAGGCTGCTAGGGACCGGGGTGTGCGGACGCCTCTTCGGATCTTGGCTTTTAATTTGGGGGGTGGGGGGCGAGAGGGCATATCCCTGCTTTTACTTTTTAAAAACGGCTTGAAGAAAGAAGAAACAGATTCAGTCCTAGTTTTTTGGTGTGCTTATTAAAGGCAAATAATTACTGAACATTAGCAAACTCACATTTTGGTGGCTTCCTTACGTCCAAACGACTCTATATATGAAAAATGGAGTATGTGTGCCTGGGGTGCGTGAGAAGGGAAGATTAACTGGTGTGCCAAAAAGGTATTTCGGTGGACTGTTGAGTTATGTTTGCACAAGGTTTTACTTGCTTAGAGGTCAACAAAAATAGCTTGCCAGCCGAACATGATCTGGGTTTAAAATACTTTTGCAGGCTGGACGTTTAGTTCGTGCCCAGAGAGAAATGTGTAAGGGCTTTGGCATGTGCACGTGTGTTCAGGAATTTCCAGGTATAATACTGTACAGAAAAGTCCCCTTTTCTTCTGTGCGTGTGGTGGAGGTGGGGCTCCCGCACTGAGAGGCTCCCCGGCACCCGCCGGGTCTCCCCCAGTTAGTTCAGCTCGGTTCTGGAAGGACCTGGGCCTGGCGTGATCCTCGGCTAGACCGGCCCTACTGAGGCGGTCTAAAGATCGGCCTGGGGGGACATGGGCTCCCCGAGTTAGCAGTTTCTCATGACAGGGTGTGAGGCAAGGACAGCCAGATGGGAGAGACACGCAGGGTGCGGTATGGGGAGAGGGTGCGGTACGGGGGGAGGGCGTGGAGCTCCCGTGCTCCCTGGGGGTGGCGCCCTCCCAGCATCTGACCCTGCTCGCCCACCCAGAAGCTCTGCGAACTCATTCTGCAGGGTTTTAGAGAGACTTCATTACCAGGCAGGCACGACTCAGTCGTTGGCCGCCGGCGATGGGCTCAGCCCCCAGCCCATCTCTTCCAGGCGCTCAGGAGGGTGGGGCTGCAAGTTCCTCTGAATCACTAGGTCAGATCTCCTGGCCCCTGGCCCCCGGCCCCCATCCTGCGGTGTTCTGGGGGGCCTCATTAGCATAAACCCAGGTGGGGTGGGAAGGAGCTGGTTCTGAATAGCAGAAGAAGCTCCTTTCACTTTCACAAAACGTCTGGAGTTGTTTCAGAACAACGGAAGACCGAATGGTATCCCCCAGATGCTCCTGGTACTCTCACCGCTTAAGACACCCCCGGGGTCATGGGGGCCAGAAGACCCCTCTCCTTCCTCTGTCAGAGCTTCCCGAGGGCCACCTACTCTCAGGGACCGGCCGGCCGGGGGCGCATCTGCTCCCAGCCCCTCATCACCCCGGGGTGTCGAGCTCTGTCGGCAAGTCCGCCCCACCTGCCGCCCGGCACGGACTGCTCCTGGGACACGTTGGGAGGAAGGTGGGAGGAAATGGGTTTGTCGGGAAGGGCGGCGCAGATGTGTCCTGAACACACCGTGCACCTCCCAGGTCTCCGAGGCGCCCAGGCCCTTTGGTAAGGCGGACCACCCCGGAGTCCTCATTACTGAGCCCGCACACAGACCCCGCAGGTGTGGTCGAGGAGGCCGGGTGGGGCCCCCCGAGTTCCGGGGCGTCTTCTGGAGCTGACCCTCCCGTGCCTGCGGCGGGTTGCTCGGGGCAGCGGGGGCGGGGGGCTCTCCTTCCGGCTCTTCCCAGCCTGGTGTGAGGAAGAGCTCCGCCCGGAGTGGCCCACGGGCGCGGCGTGAATGTGTCCCCCCGCACTTCCGTCCCTTGGAGAGCTAACCTGGCCTCGGCCTGCTGGCCACGGTGGGGCGAGGAGCGCGTGTGAGTCTGAGGTCAGATGAGCTGCTCAGATATTTGGGACAAAAGTCGATGCCCGTTTTAGATGGGGTTATTCTAGGAAGGAAAGTAGCTATTAATATCTTCACTTACCACCGCGTTGTTTGACCTACATTTGTTGCAGTGACTGCGTCCTTCCAAATGAGTGCGGAGCGAGGCGGGGGTTATAAAACCGTTTTCCTTCCCCTTCCTTCCAGCATTCCTGCTGGAGGGAGGTGCGTTCTCACGGAAAGTATTTTGGCATCGAGTTAGCAGCGCACAGACACATGATGTCTGCTTTCCTTTCCAGAACCCTCTCTCTTGTCCGTGCCCTGGTCATTCGATCCTGCAGGTCAAATGTGGCTGTGCAGAAAGGCTTTGACCGGTGGCTGGTTATCGATCGTCACGGGCTTCGCGCGGGGGCCCCCCACGGGGGCAGGCGCACGAGCTGCCCGCATGGACCGTCTGCAGGGAGTGAATGCCCCTCGGTAACGTCTTCGAGGAGGGGCATTTTGGAGTCAAGTCCTTAAGATCCCACTCTGGAAGACTCCATTCCGAGTCCTCGTGAGCATTTAACGAAGTTTAAATAAAATCAGGCAACCGTGAGGGCTTGGATTATCTAAAAAGATAAAGTGCTAATTGGCCCTACCAAAAAATTTAAAGTTTGTTCTACAGTAGGAGGTTTTTAGATTCTTTACCTGAAGCTTTATTTTTATTCTGAGGACTGTGGAAAACAGGCCAGTTTGAAACAGGCCGATACAGTGGTTGTGCTTGATGCGTGAAAATTGTAACCTACTGAGGGCAGGGCATCAGGCTGACCCGGCCGAGTTTCACGGAGCCGTAATGAAATGTACGCACGCAGGAAGTAGTTCCGTAAGGGACCCACCTCCGAGGAGAGGTGGGGCATTTTGCGAGGGCGGCATTGTGTCCGTACCTTGGCAGCCAGTTCAGCTTTAACGTCTACTTGCAGTACTGCCAGCACTGCTCTGTGTTCTGGAAAGCAGGGGGCAGAGAGGGGTGGCCTGCGAGCGACCCGGGTGGCCGAGAGGAGCAGAGAGAGGGGGAGGACAGAGGACGGGGCCGCCCGGTGCAGCGAGCACAGCCCAGGGCTCTCGGGGACGCCAAGGAAATACTCGCTCCAGTGGAAGTCCGCCTGAGGGGGGCGAGACCTCTTCTTCCTGGAAGAAGTCTGTCGACCCGAGCTGCCCTCTGCCCCGTCCCGGGGGCAGGACGACCGCGGCAGACCCCGGCCTTTGCCGTCTGCGGAGTGTCCTCCTGCGGCCGAGCAAGTCCAGAACGCAGCTGCCTGAGCCCGGGGGCAGCCGGCCTGGCCTTGGCCTCCAGGCCACCGGGGTGCATCCTGGGGGTCACTCCCTCACGGCAGGGAGCTTCGTGTCCACCCGTATTGACTCTGAAGTGGCCCCTTAGGACGGGAACCTGGAGTCGTCACCAGGGTGAGCTGCGGCTCCGGGCACTGATGGTGCCGCACAGCTTCCAGTGAGCTGCTATCACGTGTCGACCGAGTATCGGCACAGGACGTGCCCAGCGTCGACGATGGACAGGACCCTCCTCGAACGTGGCCGAGGCCCCCCAGATCTGCGAGCGGCCGCGTGGCGCGCAGCCCCTCCCATCGGGTGAACGCCCCGAGGTCTCAGCGAGTGCACTGGCCCCTGGGGCCTGACCGGGCAGCCGGCTGGCTGAGGGCGGGAGGTGTCTGTGACTTTTGCCCTTGTAGGTGCTGCTTCCTGTGTTTGCGGCTGAGGGCCCCTCTCAGCCACGCGGCCCACGGGGACAGGGGACAGGGGGCCCTGGGTTTCTGTACGCCCCCTCCCTGCCCCGCCCCCCACCCCCGGGACTCGGCTGACTTCGGCGTCCTGCCGTGTGACACATTAAATCTTAATGCCACGGTCATTATTAATGATTAATTCGGCACTTTCGTCCTCTTCCTATCTGGCCTCAGGATTAATATTTGACTGCTCGTGACCCGAGCTGCCGCACAGCCCCCAGAACTGCAGCGCCGAGGCGGGACTCTGGGGCCCAGGTGGGGCCTCCCGCTCCCCTTCCAGCCCGGCCCTCCAGCCCCGGCACCGCCCCCCCGCCGTCACTCATGTCCTTGGCGTCAGCAGCCACCGCAGCAGCCGGGCCTCCGTGTCTCTGAGCAGCCATGCCCGCAGCCTCCCACTGCCCCCTTCCCGTCCCTCTGTCCGTCCGTCCTCCGGGAGGCCCTGTGTGATCTGTCGACAGCCCCCCTCGCCTGGGTGCCCCCTACAGACGCCCGTTCGTCTCTTTGCGTCACGTTCTGTCTTTTTGTGCCCTGGCGCCGTAGCAGACATTTGTGTTGGGAGCGGGAGAGGCAGGGAAGGGAGTGTGTTCCGGGAAGTTCTGTGAGCTCATTCATTGAGTGCACACCTGGTGAGCTCAAAGAGGAGCTGCCAGACTTGTTTTCCAATTCAAGGTTCGCTACTCGGTGCTCGTGAGATCTTGGCAAGTGGCTGAATTCCTCCAGGCCCAGTCCTCCGCCGGCAGGCCAGGTTCATGGCCACCCTTTATACTGTTCCGCAGGAGTAGGTGGAATGGAGCTAATAAGTAACGTTTCCCAAGTGTTTGCCATGTGCCAGGCTCCGCTCCAGAGCAGATAATAACTAACCCGCTGCTGACACCCTCCCCCCGGCGGGTGCAGTTGCTCACCCCCAGCCAGAAAAAACAAAACCAGGGCCCCTGAGCCGGGGCCAGCGTCCGCCGTTCCCAGTGAGTGACCTCTCTCGCGCGGCTCTCCGTCCTGCCGGTCGGGACCGTGGCCTCTGGCGGGCCGAGGGTCTTGCCGCCGTGCGCCCCGGGCCCCTCGCTCGCTGAGTGGGCGTCACATGGGGCTGCTGGGGGAACAGGCGGGACTGGATACGTGACCTGCTGCGAGCTGCCTCGGAGTCACCCTCAGCCGTTATTTACCACGTTGTTAAAAAGTGACCGATCTGGAAAACGCGGAAAAAAGGAGTCAGTGTTATTGTAACGTATTGGGTTACAGGCGAGAGAAACCAACTCACGCTGGCTGCACGCAGCACACTGGCTATACGGACGCAGGAATGTTTTCCAGAGCTCCCAGCAGGAAGCGGCCAGGCCTGAGACAGGATGGGCGCCACGCCAGGCACAGCTGCCCGGAGCCCGGCCCACGTCCCAGCCTCCAGCGCTGTCCCTTCCCCGGCCCTCCCTGCGTCTCCGAGAGTCCTGGCTCCCGTCCCTCACCAGGGGATCAGCCAGCTTCTCCAGAGAGATGGGACCAGCAGGATGTGCGTGTACACACACGTCCGCACACACACGTGCAGAGGCGGGCAGTTGAGGAACTGGCTTGCGTGGTTCTGGAAGTGCACGGTCGAAGGCTGCAGGGTGGGCGGACGGGCTGGAGACCCGGGGAACGGCTGCAGGGAGGAAGCTGGAGCAGGGCCCCCTCTTGCCGAGGGGACCTCAGGCTTCTCTCTTAAGGCTTCACCTGATGAGAGGGGGCCCCCACACACTGCACATGGCCCTCTGCCACGCTCAGTCCCCGAGTTTACAGTCAGTCACGTTGAGACAATACCTCGTCAGCATTATCTAGAGCCATGCTGGGCCACATCTCAGGGCAGTACCGTGTTTTAGCGAAGTCGCTGCATAAAATCGTCCACCCGCGTCCCCGAGTGCACCCCTCCGGCGTCTTCTGTGCTCCCTGGCGCTCTCTGCCCCAGCCATCTCTGCGTCTCTCTCTGCGTCTCTGCGCAGGCCCTCCCCCCATGAAGACAGGCCTGCCCTGGCTCTCAGGCCAGGCGAGAGCAGAGGCTGGGCGCCTGGCGGTCCACAGCCACTCAGGGAGCCTCTCCACCACGGCTTTGACCGCCGGCAGCCCTCCTGGCGGGTCTCACGGGCCAGGGCTGGTGTCCTCATGGGTGCTGCTCTGTTTCCACGCTTCTTCTAGATTTTCAGGGAAGGGGGGATCCTGAGGGGCCTAAGGAGGGCTCCACGTCCCCCTGTGACCCAGCCAGCCGAGGCCAGGAGGGTGGGGTCACGTTGCCCGACCCTGGCTGAGTGCGGCCCCCACCCCGACGACACAGACGTGCACTGAGAAGGCGCCCTGAAAGGCGCCTCCTGCACGGGCGGGTGGGGGTGCGGGCGGGCTCCAATCACCGAGCCGCCTCTGGAATATTGATAAATGTTACCAAGCGTAGCAGGCGTTCGTGCTTACCAAAATTCATACTCCTCAGGTAGGCTCCGGTGCCCTCCAGCAGCGTTTCTGAAAGAGAGTTTGGGAACCCGGTTGCGGAGATGCGCCCTTGGCTGTGACCCCTCGCTGTCGCTCAAGTTTCTTTCTCGCCTCGCCTTTTGCTGCCCAGAGGATGACGTGGACCTGGAGGCGCTGGTGAGCGACATGAGTGCGTCCCTGGAGAGCCTGTACGCAGCGTGCAGCATGCAGTCCGATACAACGCCCCTGCGCCAGAACGGCCAGCACACCCGTGACCAGCCGCCGCCCTCGGGGGCCAAGCCTGCCCCGCCGCAGGCGTCGCCGCAGCAGAAGGTGCAGCGTTCCCAGCCCGTGCACATCCTGGCCGCCAGGTAGGGCCCTGGGCCTTGGAGGGCGGGTGGGAGGGGCCGGTGCGGCTGCGGAGGCGGCGTGCCGCTCTCCGCGCGCGTGACGTGCAAGGGCGTGGTGCTCTGGCCTCCTGAGCTCCGCAGGCGGGTGCGTACCTCTGCCCTGGGCTGCGTGGCAGCGCTCGGTTGGGACAGGTACCTACTCAGGAGTTAGCAGAGGGCTCTAAGGCCACACTGCCCAGACCAGGGCCCAGGACCCGGGCAGTGGCCTCCCTGGCCCTTGTCAGAAAGGTGTGACTGCAGACATTTGGTGACATCACCCAGGGCAGTGAGCAGAGGCGCCTCCGGAAATACTGGGCTGGGGGGAGGGGCCCAGAGAGTGGTGGAGAGCCCCTTGCAGGTGGCGGGTCTCCGAACTGGGTGTTAAAGGGTAGGTAGGCATCCACGCACGGGGGAAAGATTTTGTGAGCACAAGAGAGAGTCCCTGGTGTTGCAAATGGCAGGATCCCTTCCTTTTACAGGTGGACGATATTCCATAAACGCACGCACACACCAGGTTTCCTTTATCCGTTCATCCGTAGACGACCACACGGACAGGACGCTAACAAACGAGCCTGTCGTGGAGGACAGCCCTACACGGGCCCACTCACGCGCGGAATCTAGAACAGTCCGCCGCACAGACGCAGAGAGCGGCACGGGGGTGGCCGGGGCGGGGAAAGGGCAGCCGTCTGCGGAAGGCACTCTCACCCGTGCGAGGGGCGGGGGTCCCAGGGGCGCCAGGTGCACGCAGAGCCCTTGCTGGCAGTGCTGCGTTGTACGCTGAAAGTTCGGGGTAACACGTATAGGATCCCAGGGGAGTTCGTGGGGGCGTCCACGGAACCCTTCATCTCAGTGCCCGGGGCTCCCCGTACATGCCCTTGCTCCGGGCGCGTGCTTCCGGCACAGTGCCGAGCACTTCCTGTGCGTGCCCCGCCCACCCCCGTCGTCGCTGCCTGTGCGTGCCCTGCGCTTCCGGCGCATGCGGGACGCTTCCTGTGCGTAGGTCTGTCGAGTCCCCGTTTCTTAGCCTGTGTCCCGGTGTCCACAGCCCTACGAGGCGAGTGGCGTGGGGACCCTGAGTGCCCAGGCGAGGCGGCCTGGGCCCGGGGACAGACACGGCTCGCGGCTGGCTCGTGGGGGGCCCTCGGGGGCCGGAAACGCCGTGAGCCTCGAGCTGGGTGCCGCCGCCGCCCGCCGGCGGGCTCCCGGGGAACAGGGCCGCCACTCGCCGGATGTTGTCCCTCTTTGGGGATTCTAGAGAAGGCGCAGGGCCTTCCCCACCGGGCCCTGGTAAGCCCCTGGCCCCTGCGCCTGAGCTCGGTCCCCGGGGCTGCTTCCCGCTGGGACCCCGGAGGGTCTGCCCTCCCGAACCGCCGTGTTGCCAGCCCGCGTGACGTCCCGTAGCTTTGCTTTCGGCCGTCTTTGGGAACTGCTGCAAAGTCAGCTTGGAAACATGGTTTATCGAAGCAGACTTCCACACAGCAGAAAAATGACCGCTTTAAAGTGACAGTTCTGCGTTCAAGACAGCCCCAGCGCTGCGCAGTGACCCGTCTCCAGTGGCAGGACACCTCCGTCCTCACAGGGAGTCCTCACCCATCCAGCAGGGCCCTACACTCCCTCCTCCGTCATCACCACCTGCACCAGGGACGTTACTGGTATTCGCTGTAACCGATGACCCCATGGCAACGCGGCGCCGTCACCGGAAGTCCCTAGGACACGTGACGGTTCACACCTGGTGTCGGACATCTGATGGGTTTGTGCGGGCGGACAACAGCAGCAGCACGAGCCCGTCATCACACCGTCGTGTGGGGTGATCCTGCTGCTGCCTGGAAACACACGGGACCTTGTACATGCTCAGAGGGGCCTGCGAAGGGGACCCTCGGGGGACTGCTGGGATGTCCGGACGCCAGGGCCTCGTCCCGTGAACCTAACTCCTGTTCTTCAGGCTCCTGGGCCAGGTCTGGGCAGGACCACCCTGGAGGTGACGGCGATCTCTCCGGCCTGTTGTTGGGGACCACAGAAGGGATTGTCTTCCCAGCGTGGAGTCAGTCTCCCGGGGCTGTGGGCAGTCGCTCGGGCGGTCAGGGCCTCCCTCTCAGCCGGGGGGACCTGCGTCGCGCAGCAGTCACGGTGTCCGCTGCTGCGCCAGCAAGCCTCCCGAGAGACCGGGCGGGCCGTGGGTGCCGTCAGGTTCTAAAACTGGCGACCAAGTGCTGTGAAGGGGTCGCCCCGTGAGGGGAGGATGGGGCGGGAGCAGATGAGGAGCAGGAATTCCCAGCGGAGGCAGGGCCAGACAGCACCAGGCATCGGCACGCTGGGCGGTGACACCCGTGGGTGGGCGGGGGGTCCCCCACCAGTGGAGCCCGGGGCCTGCCAGCAGAACCGCTGAAGAGAGGAGACATGGGGCGCCTTGCTTGTTTTTTCTGTCGTTCTCCTGATTGCCTCTGATCTGTCCTTGGTGGGTGCTGTGCTTGGGGGCGTGGCAGGTGAGGTGTGAGCCCCTGGGAGGGGGGGCTCCAGAGAAACGCAGGAGGGAGGGAGGGAGGGAGGGAGGGAGGGGCGTGTCCTTTGGAAGCGGCTCCCTCAGCGCCGCGGGTGGGTGCAGCCAGGCCGGCCTGGGGCCCCGAGAGCGCGGGCGGCTGTGCCTTGGGGCGGCAGCTCCGGGAAGCATTCACTCGCGCTCCCTGTCGACCGCCTCTTTGCGTGCGGGGGCGTTCGCGTCACAGTCCAGATGAGGACAACACGGGCGTCTCTCCTGACGTTTTTGTTCGGTCGGAGATGGGCTCCGTTCAGGGCCGTCAGAAAACACGCCCTTGTTCACGAAACCCCTCCGCACATCGGGGGTTCCCAGGCCGGGACTGCGGCGGGGCGGGGTGAGGTGCGAGCCTGGTCTGCGATGTGAGCCTGCGGCACTTCCCGCCGAGGCAGGGAAGCCGCGCCGCCCCGCCCCTTGGAGTCCAGACGCGGGCGGTGTGACTGCGTGTGCCTCTGCGTGTGCCACTGCAGCGAGAGGCACGCCTACGAAGCTCGCCGTCTTGGCCCTGTGCACGGGGCAGTCCCAGGGCTGCGGGCATCGCAGCACCGCGCGCCCTCTCCAGACTCTGGCCCCAGGGAACACAGCCCCACACCCCACGGGCCCCGCCCGCCTCTCCGGCCCACTGCCAGGAGCGGGCTCGCCCAGGGCCCGTCCCTCTGTGGCGGCCTTCCCTCCCGTGGCCTGCGCCCTCGGGTCCGTCCGGGAGGAGCGTGTGGCAGAACATCGCACCTTTTCAAGGCGGAAGAGCATCCCTCTGTGTGGGGGGGCCACACTGTGCCCGCTGCCCACGCGTAGGTGGGTGCACGGGTCGCTTCCCCCTTCGGCGGCCGTGACCAGCCCTGGCGTGATCACCGAGCACCGACCCGTTCACCTGCCTCTCTCCCTTGGGTGTGTCCCCAGGAGTGGGGCTGCCGGGTCAGGCCGGGTGGTGGCTTTCAACCGGCGGTTGTCTCTCCCCCAGACGCCTGCAGGAGGAAGACCAGCAGTTCAGAACCTCGTCTCTGCCGGCCATCCCCAACCCCTTCCCGGAGCTGTGCGGCGCAGAGAGCCCTCCCGCGCTCACGTCCGGCTCCCTACCTCCGAGCCAGGCCACGGCGAAGCAGGTGAGCGTGCCCCCGGCGTGCGCGCCAGGCTGCGCAGCGGCGAGTGCGGGACGGGCGTGCGGCTCCTTGCTCTGGGACGAAGGGAGGGGAATCGTGCGGTCTCGGCTCTTGGTTCTTCTCTTCTTGCAATTGTATTCGCCGCCTTGCAAGACTTTTTCAATTTAGCGGCCAAAATTTCGTTCATGCAGTCAGGGATGGGCCTATACGTGTTAGGAGGAGTCTCATAAAAATGGCTAAAAATTAGTAGCAGTTTGCTGCTTAAAAGACGAGTTTTGGTTTTCTGAAACGGTTTCACCGCCACGTTGTCTTCGGCGCCAGTGACTGTGCGTACCGAACGCCGGCTTTCCCAGGCGCCTGGCCTTCGGCGCAGCGGAACGGCGTCCCCGAGGTGGGGCTGCGCGGCGGGCTGTGCGGGCCCGACCCCGGGGCACACTGAGGCAGGGAAGGGTTCCCAAAAAAAGGCCGCGTCGCCGGGAACCGACCTGCCAGGGCTGGGCTGGCAGCACCGCCCCTCCCGGTTGGCGGGGCCGGGACCTGAGCGGTCTGGCTCCGAGGGAAACGGGGGGGGATGTCCACCCCAGCGTGAGGGCGGCGGGATGAGCGTGCCGCGCCCGCCGTGACGACAGGGGCGTCTCCTGTCCGCTGGGGGCCGGACCCTGCTCCACGGGCTCTACGGCCTGTCTCCGTGTGGTCTGTCTCCGTGCGTGGGGTCTGCTCCTCAGGCCCGCCCCGAGGGGCAGGCGTCGGCGTCCCCTGCCCCCTGTGGTGGGGAGACTGAGGGCCGGTCACAGCGTGCTGGGCCTTGCTGGCAGCAGCGTGCACAGCGGGCTGGGTGTGACCGGGCGCGAGTGGGCGCAGCCCTGGGGCCTTACCCTGGGCGAGCCTTCGGCTTGGGGCGTGGCCTGGCCGCGGTCCGGAGCGCCCGTGCTGGCCGCCGGAAGGGCTCCCCGGGCCTTGGGTGTCCCTCTTCAGCAACAGCGTTTCCGGAGTTCCCCTGCCTCTCCTGCTGGAGTCACTCCCTCCCGCGCCCTCGGTACTTTTCCACGCCTGCCGTCCCGCAGGGCCACGAGCCTCTGGGCCCGTGCCTGCCGCCCTCCTGCCCCTTGTGGGAGACGTTTCTCGTCACGCCCGCCCGCCACAGCGCGCTGCCCCGGTGCCGACCTCACGCCTCCGGACGGGCCACGCCGCCGCCCTGTCCTCAGCCGGAGCTGGCCAGGCTGCAGCACCCGGTCACGTGCCTGACGTGCCTGTGGGACGCCTGCCTCCCCGGTGACCCTCTGCCTCAGGGAAGGGTCTAGATGGATCGTCTGTGGATTGGTCACGAAGGTTGTGTACAGAGTCACTCGCCCTGAAATAAGACCGAGAAAACATTATCTGGCTCTCGCGGTGGCTGGCAGGCAGGCGGGCCCCGCCCCCGTGGGCCGTCCAGCTCTGTGAGCAGAGTCAGGAAACCCAGGAATCCCGCCCGCTGCTTTTCTCAGGGTTGGCGCCGGTCCCCCATGAGAACATCGTGTCGGTGCCTGCGTCTCTGTCGCACAGATTCCTTCGGCCCCTGGGGCCCAGCAGGCGCGGGCACTCGCGGAACGTGGGTATTCCCACTGGTGTGCGGACACCTCAAGGAACGGACAGTCCTTGGTCCGCACTCAGCTCTGACCTTGGATCTTGTGAAGGGCTCATGTCGTGGTGTCGTCGGCCCTGCAGTCGAGAGGGCCGGCGGCGCGGCAGGCCGTGGTGGGCAGAGCTGCTGCTGATGGGCGTGGGCCGGGTGGCCTCCTGGTCTTCCCCACAGGCCTGGGGGGAAGGGAGAGCTGGCGAGCTCTGTCCTTCCTCGGGGGTCGGAGGGAGCCGCCCAGCCACGCTCTCCCAGACGGCCTGCACGCTGCAGGGGCGCCCAGGGGACTATGTCTCGGGCGGAGGAGCGTGTGCTGTGTCGCGGGAGGGGCTGCCAGTGCAGGGAAGCAGTGGGGGTGGGAGGCCAGACCCTGCGGCTCTGCCCGGACCCCAGCCCCCGGGGTCTGGGGTCCCCAAGCAGCTCAGAGACCCGTGCGTCACACACTCCCTCTCGGGCTGCGTGGGGCTGGCGGAGACAAAGGCCCTGGCTGGCCGCAGTGGCGCGGACGTGCACTTGCACGCGTCAGGGGTCTGGGGGCCGAGGCTCTGGGCGGCCTGGCCCCCTGTCCTGAAAGCGGCCCCCTCCCCCTGCCCCCCGCCGCTCCATAGGCTGGGCACGGGCTGCTCACTCTCCCATCACCGCGGGGCAGAGAGAGACACTGAGGCTGTGTGTGCCGTGGGCTGGCCCCTCGGGCGTGAGGTCGGGGAAGGTCCCGATGGGAGGCAGCGGGGGCAGGACTGGGCGATGGGGGAGGGCTGGTGAGGAAGAACTGGGTTTCCCAAGGCAGTGCCTCTCTCACCCAGTTCGAGGTGAGTTCTGAAGACTCACCGGCACTTCCCGGTGGCGTGGTGGGCGGGCCTTTCAGCCAGGAAAGGTTTCCACGCAGCTCCAGGCAGCAGCCACACACACACACACACACACACACACACACACACACACACACACACACACACACACACACACACAGTGACTGGCCACAGCAAGTTTTCCCGTTTGTTGTGTAAACACTAGTCCATACTTTAACCTCATTTTCAATAGGGCACAAATATGTCTTCGTGCCAAATCAGCTCTTCTTTCTTTATTTCATTTTAAAAATTAATTTTCTGGAAGTAAATTAATTGCCTTGCACGGGCTTCTGACATGCATTTACTAGCGAGCAAAGTCGGGTCTCCCGAGGCTGTAAGGACGGCTTCGTGAACGGCCCAGGCTGGTCACTTCCCAGCCAGTGCTAGTCCAGTGGGAGGAGGGTGCAGCCGCCTCCCCCCGCCCCCACACCCCATGCAGGCGGCCTCCGGCCGTCCTGGAGCCAGGCCTCCGTCTGGTCCCGCCCCTGCAGCCGCCTCCCACCTCGCCCAGCCCTCCGCTCTCAGCCCCTGCGGAGCAGGCCCACCCCGCCTCTGCTGCTGCCTTGGGGCGGGGGGGGGGCCGGGGGCACGGGGCGGGGACACTCGGGGGAGCCCTAGAGTTGGGTCTGGACAGGAGCCAGAGGGCAGTGCTCGGACCCACGGTAGGACAGAGGACAGCCGCTGTCCATAGTGGTCACTCGTGGCCTTCCCAGGGCCAGGGCCAGGTCCAGCCCAGGGTACACGTCAGCACATCCCCCCCCCCCTCCCCGCTTCAGAAGACAGAGGCCTCTCTGCTCGGCCCCCCTCGCGGGCACCTTTCCCCGCCCCTCTCCTGCCTGCTCTCTGTGACGGATGGGTGGACAGCTGCGGCTTCCTCACCGCCCCGAGGCCCCACCCCTGGGGGGACCCGGAGTCCACGGGCCATGGGGGTGACTCAGGCAGCTGCGCTGTGTCCTCTCCCAGGGGCCCCTCTGTCCCCGTCACCACTGTCTTTACTCCACCCGGCCTTTGGCGAGCTGGTTCCCCCCGAACCCTGTGCCCCCCCGCACACCCCGAGGGCACTCGCCCACCCCAGGGCTTCTGTCCCCATCCCCCACCCTCCCGGCAGACCCACCATCTTCCCCCTGGAAGCCAGCCCCTCCTCTGCTGCTGCTGCTCTTCTGGAATTTGGAGGGAGGGGTCACTCCTAATTCCTGCCTCTTTTTTTTGGCCACCACAGCCAATCAGTCATGTGGCTCCGCTGGACAGTTTTCTAGAGAAGGGATGTAAAGCATTTTTGTTGGTTTTTAAGATTACAATATGCAAATGGAACGTTGAGTTACCGACTCTCCGAGGAAGTTGGTTTAACAAAGACTTTTTTATTTTCCTTGGCCACCTCTGGGCAGCCCGGCGGGGTCCCTGCCTCCCCAGCTCTCTGAGGGGCCTCCGGCTCAGGAAGTCAGGGTGCTGCACACAGAGCCCCAGCCCCAACCCCCAGCCCGGGGGCTCTGCGAGCCCGTCCCCTCTGCCAGAGGGCTGGCCCCTGAGGGAGCTCTGCAGGGGCAGCTGGGGTCCCAGGTTGCAAGGGCACTACCTCCCTGATAGGCGGCGCAGCCCTCGGGACCGGCACACGGCTCTGGGAGCCGCAGTGGGTGCTTACGGGGTGTTTCCTCGTGGGGGGCGAGGGGCAGTCTGGAGCACCCCCCCGGCCCGTCAGGCAGGACCCACGGCCACACCGTGCCCCTCGCCGCCGTCCTCCTGTCGCCGTGTGTCACCAGGGGGTCTGTGGGTGGCAGAGGCGTCCTGGGCGAGGCGCGTGGGCAGCGCTGGGGGTCACCCTCAGGGGCCACGGTGTGGCAGGAACGGCCAGGGCGGCCCGCTGTGGTGCAGCAGAGGGCTGTTGCCGCAGCGGAGACCTCGGGGGCCCGAGCCCCGTGGGCGCGGGCCATGGCCACGTGGCTGTGCATGGTGCCTCCCCACGGAGGCTCTGGGCCGCCCGCTGTGTCCTCCTGGGTCCTGGTCGTCAGTGACGAGCCGGAGCGGGCCCCTCTGCCTTCCCACGCTGCCCAGCGCGCCGAGAGCCCGGCACCTGCCGTGCTCAGCCCGCACCTCCCGGAGGAGCCCACTGTCCCGGGAAGCCAAGGGAGCTGCACGTCCCTGCACCCGGGAAGCCCCCATCGGGTCTGGCCGTGTCACGGGGAGGGGAGCCTGTAGGGGGGGCCCCCAGAGCTCCGCTGCCGCTTCTGCCCAGAACCGCGCTCTGCCTGGCGCCTGTGGGCCCCCAGGAACCACACCGGCAGAGGTGCTGAGTTGTCTGCTGTCGTTTCTAAGGTGGCAGCCGCTGTGCCTTGCCTAGATTTCCTGGGTGTTCTGCAAACACCAAGGTGTCTCCACTTGAACAAGGCCCTGTTCCGTGTGTGTTCTAACTTCATGGCTCTCGGGAGTGTGTCCTTGTCACGCTGGGGACAGGTGGACAGGACCTCTGGTAGCACTACTGGGGACCTCTCCCCTGAGACTCGTGCTCTCTCGGCTCACCCCTGCGGTCTGCAGGCCGGCTCTTCCTGCCCCGGGAGGAAACCACGTGCCGCGGAGCCCGCGGGCGGCCCCTGCCAGGCCGGGCTCCCTGCTGAGCTGGTGGGTGGGCACAGGGCAGCCGGCGGAGCCCGGAGTGGGCGGCAGGTGTGAGCCTGCCTCCCGGGCCTGTGGGCTGGCAGAGAAGCCCAGTGACAACAGGACGGCCCCCCGGAGTGGCAGGGGCCCGGGCGGGAGCCCGCAGGAGGGCCTCGCACCAGCAGTGGGGGCCAAGGCCCGGAGGACGGCTGTGCTGGAGTTCAGCCTGTCGGGCGCGGCTCTGCCCGTCTGTCCACACAGGGAGGCCTTCTTACGGTGCTTTTGTTCTTACTCTCTGCAGAATGTGGCCATAAAACCCACGTTTGTCCCCGTAGCAGGCCGCGCACACCACTCCAGAGCAGTTCAGAAAACACGGTCGAGCAGACCAGGGTCGGTTCTCGCGAAGGAGCCGACTTGCTCGGGGTGCGGGGGCCCCCCTCGGGGCCCGTCGCCGCCCCTCCCTCGGGGCAGTGCGCCCAGGGACTCTGAGGTGGTGGCAGGGTTCCAGCAACTGTTTTGTAAGGTATTTTTAGAACTTCGACTTTTTAAGAAAGGATTTGCAGCGACTTAATGTATTTTTAATTCTCGCTGAAACCCTGAGACGGAGGAGTGCATCAGACGGGTTTCTGCTTTTCCGAGTGTGTCTCGTCAGTGTGACCAGAGCCACGTGGCGGCTCGCCCCCACCCCCGCCAGTCCTCGGGGCCCCACGGCGCTCCTGCGGTGTGGGGCAGAGCCGGGGGAAACCGCAGCTCTGCTCTCTCCAGCGAGGCGCGCCGAGCCCAGCCCCGCTGCTGCCTTGGGCGGGTGTGCACTTCCTTTCCTCCCGCCGGCCAGCCGACTGGCCTGCTCAGACCGGGGCTTCGGGGCCCCGGACGCACAGCCCCTGGGGAGGGTCCGGTGCAGCAGCATCTCGTTGACGGGCAGGCGGGCCTGCAGCCGGCACCCTGGGTTCAGACCCCGACCCCTGCAGATCCATCTCCTGGGCCTGGATAAGCCATCCATGCTGCCTTCCCCAGACTTCCTTTCCTCCTCGGTCGGCGGGGGGGCGGGGGGGGGGACAGTGACAGCTGCAGTCTCAGGGGCCCCTCCCCTCCACCTGCCCCAGCAGCTGCCTTTCCTCCTCCCGCTCCCACTGGCTGGGTCCCACCCCTCCAGGCTGGCAGGCTGGCTCCCCTCTCCCGACTGACCCTCCCCAGTGCCCCCTCCTGGCAGGTGGGTCACGGGCTGGCACTCGTCCCTGGCAGTTACTGGCATGTCCAGCTCATGCCATCACTCTGAAAAGTGCACTTCAGTGGGACCTCAGAGAGCTTTGGACCAGGGTGAAGAGTGGAGAGAAAGCTGGCCAGAGAGGTGCCCGCCGAGACCCTGCCGGCTGACTTGGTTTCTCGTCAGCGGGCCCCGGGGCCCTCTGCTCAGCTCTGCCCCTGCACCGGCGGTGGCGGCTGTCCACCCGGGGCTGTCCCACATGGGGCAGTGTGCGGAGGGGCAGGGAGATGGCTGTGCCCCGTCTCTGTGTCTGCAGGCGACCTGGGCCGAGGCCAGGCCGTCCCCTGCATCCACCCAGCACGAGGCTCAGAGCCTGCGGGCCCACCGGCGCCGTGCGTCGGTGCCTGGAGCCGGCGTCTGCCTGCCGGGGGCCCCGGGACACAGAGCCAGGCTCCCCGGAGCACAGTGGGGGCCGTGCAGACGGTGGCCCTCCCACCCCGGCGGTCACTGAGCTCCTGCCTCTCAGTCCGCTCAGATGTGAGCTCCGCTCCCCCTCCGCGCGAGCACTGTCTGAGCGGTGGCAGCGCAGCTCCGGGAAGACGGACGCCCTGTCGCCTGAGGGCTGTGGGTTTGGCGGCAGACGCGGCGCCAAGCCCGCCGGGGGCGGGGGCTGGGGCCTGGCGAGGCATCGGTCCCCCGACTAACTCCGAGAACAGCCGTGCACTGTTGACGCAGTTCACGCTCTTTAGTGTCACTCAGTTCAAGAGGCAGTCACCTGCCTGGTTTCCTCTGCGTGGGGGGGAAGGACGGGACAGTTCCGGGCGGCCGCTGCCAGCGGCCTTGCTCGTGCGCCGTCGTACGGGCCGGGATCTGCCTCTCAGCTGGGGGGTTGGAGTCTCAGACCCGCGCACCGGTTTGGGGTGGGGCGGCTGTGGGGTCCCGGAGGCCTCCCCCTGGGTGCCCTGCCTCGCCCCCAGAGCTGCACCCCCAGGTTGCGGCAAGCACATGCCAGGGGCAGGCACAGGTGACTGTCCTGAGCCTGTGCCCGGCTGACCCCAGGAGGCCAGTGTTCCTTTCGGGTTCCCACCATACTGATGAGGAAACTGAGGCACAGAGAGGTCGGGTCACGCAGCCAGTTAGCGGCGAACATGGCCCAGGTGGGCCCTCGAGTGATAGCCGCAGTGGGCTCCCGCCCTGCGTGGGGCAGGTCGGGAAGGCGGCCGTAGCTTCTGTGCATGGAGCTTTGGGCTCCTGTTCCTACCCTGGGCGCCTGTGCCCAGGCAGAGACCGGCCCTGTGGGGCCGGCCCCCCCGCCCGAGGAGCCACTGTGTCCCGCCCCTCACAGGACACCAGGGCTCCCACCAGGGCGCTACGGCCCGCTCCCTGCTCCCTGCGGCCCGCTCCCTGTGGCCCCTGGCCCAGGCCCGGCGCACCAGAGCCCGGGACACACAGCCCTTGCTGGCTGGTGCGTGTGCTCCTTCTGGAAGCGCTGGCTTTGAGAGGTGTGGCGGCCAGCTGTTCCGGTCACACTGTCCTTCTCGTCCGCACTGGAAACACTGCCACCAGCAGCCTCAGACGTGTGCCCGTGCCAGCCCGCGCAGGGGTCGTCCGGCATTCTGTCGGGCCTCTCCGTCCCTGGGCGGCAGGCCCGCGCGGGGGCCCCCAGCCCGCTGTGTCCGGGAGGTGGAGGAGGGGCCGTCGACAAAGCACAGCTCAGCCTCTGAGGCCAGGGCTGAGTGTGGACCTGGGGGCGGGGGCGGGCGCACGGGGAGGGCCGGGAAGGAGGAGGCAGTGTGGCCGGAAAGACTGAGGAACGGGCGCCGCCCTCGATCTGGGGCAGGCGAGGGACGCTGGCCCTGGGGAGCTGGGAAGCGCCCTTCCAGCTCCAGCTCTTCCAGGGAAGGTCACGTCCGTCGTGGCCCCAGACGCTCTCAGAAACTGAGGAAGGAGGACACTGGGGGCCGGCTGACTCTGCAGCCGGCAGCACGCCCGGTGCAGAGGGCGCGGTGGGCGGTCCAGTCAGCGTGTTGCCGTCGCAAGGAGCGGTGCGAGTCCACCCTGGCCTCTGAGTTTGTGTCTCACATCCATACGGTTGTAGGGAAAGCTTCTGCCTGCGTTCCAAAGACACACTTGCTTTAAGTTACATTTTATTTTTACAGACTGCCACGTCAGCTATATTTGAAAATTCAAGTTGTGTTGTAAAAGTATCACTGTCATTGAGTCATCATGGATTCTGGAGAAAGATGGGTGGATTTCTTGAAAACGCATGTGAGCTGAAAGCAGGTTTCGGGGCTGCCGTAGCACGGGGTGTCTTTGGGGCTGCGGGTGCCCGAGAGGCTGCAGGCAGCCTTGGGGACTCGCCCCCCCCCCCGGAGGGTGGTCTCTGGAAGGGCTGGGGATGGAGGGGGCTCCCTGCAGACCGTCCCCACTGCCACCCCAGCAGAAATAAATGTCAGAGCCGCAGCCATCTGGGGGGACCATGGGTGCTGCCAGGCCTGGGACCCCCAGCCCCAGGTTGCCGCCAGAGGCGGGGCCCGCAGGGGAGGCGGGGGCCCCAGGGGATGCAGGTGTCCAGGGATGTGGCAGAGGGCAGTGCTCAGAGGGCACGCTCGCTCGGAGCCCCCTGCTCGTCACCTCAGGGCCGGGGCGGTGACAGGGACGTGTCCGGCGTTTGGGTCTGAGCCCGGCATGGGTGTCCCGCTGTGGGCACCTCCACCTCGGCTGGTGCTGCGGGGAGCCGGGGGGCGGTGGCGTCGGGCCCGGGGAGGGATCTGACTGGTCTGCTCAGGTGGTTTGACTCCCTGCCCGAGGACTGAGTGGGGCGCCCGGAGCAGCTGCTCTGCCGCCCGGAGACAGCCTGCCCACCGAGTCCCCGAGGCCGGGATTGGCGGGCTGGCCAGGGCAGGGGCCGGCCCCCCGGGGACGGCGGGAGAGGCCAGAGACAGACTCCCTTTCAGGAGGCCGCAGGGCCGTGAAATGCCGTCTTGTTCCTCCGACGCTTTTCCAGGCTGTGGAGGTCGGGCCTTTCGGCACCTCGTGCTCCCTGCGGGCTGCACCCGAGGGTGTGTTCCTGGGGCAGGGTGTGCTCCTTCGGGCCTCTCCCTGGCCCCCCTTTGCCTGGGAGCCATGTGCTCGAAGGGCCCTGGACAGAACCCAGGAAACGAAGCATGCTTGTCGTTTCGTAGGGCGCAGGAGCCAGAGTTTTGTGACCATGTTCCTTCCCTGCCCTTCTTTTTGGTATTTGACACTTCAGCATGTCCATGTGAATCTTCCTCAGCTCCTTCCTAAGCCTTAGTGGACCGGAGACAGCAGGGGCACGGCAGGAAAAGGGAACGGGGCCCTGGCCAGGGAGGGTGGGCGAGCCCGCGGAGGTCAGGTCAGGGATCCTGGGGGGCCCTCCCGCTCCGCGGGGTTCTGCAGTGAGCAGTGCCCGCTGCGCCGTGCCGGACCCCAGCCACCAGCCGCACCCCCAGACAGGGCGTGGAGAAGCCCCGCCCACCCTCGGGCCTGGCCCTGGTCGCAGCCTGCACCGTGGGCACCGTGAGCATGACGAGTCGTGCTCCGGCCCCCGCGGGGTGGGGGAGTGGACAGTGACCGTCCGCGTGCCCGCCGCTGCAGGGGCGGCGGTGTGCGTGTTGGAGCACGGCGGGCGTTTCCTCTTCCGGGGCCCCGTGGTCCGGGGTTCACCCCTGAAGCCCCGCGCCTCTCATCGGCGGGCGCCCCTGTGTGTTGCAGGACGTGAGAGTCTTCAGTGAGGATGGGACGTGCAAAGTGGTGGAGACCCCCGTGGACATGACCGCCAGGGACCTGTGCCAGCTGCTGGCGCACCGGAGCCACTGCGTGGACGACAACAGCTGGGCCCTGGTGGAGCACCACCTGCACCTGGGGCTAGGTAGGGGGCGGCGGCGCCCGGCGGGGGCTGCCGTGGCCCTGCCTGCACGGCGGGCCGCCTGCTGCTGTCCCCGCACGCTCTCCTTTCCTCCCGAAACGCACCTGCAGCACGCCCCCCCCGTGATCTCGGGGACCGGCCCTGGTTGGGGGAGCAGTGGCTCCCCAGGGCCTGCACCCGGTGAGGAGTTGCCCCCGTGCGGGGCCGTGGAGGAGGGCGGGGCGGGCCGCACACTGTGCTCTGGGGCGGCCTGGCACCGGCAGGGTTCTGACGGTGGGCGGGCTGTGCAGGCGGGCCCCCGGGGGCCCCGCAGTGACCTCGGAGCTGGTTTGGGAGCTTTCACAGGGCAGGGGCTGTGCGCGTGCGTGTGTGCGTGTGTGAGGATGTGCACAGGCGTGTGTCAGCGTGTGTGCGTGCGTGTGAGGATGTGCACAGGCGCGTGTCAGCGTGTGTGAGTGCGTGTGTGAGGATGTGCACAGGCGCGTGTCAGCGTGTGTGAGTGCGTGTGTGAGGATGTGCACAGGCGCGTGTCAGCGTGTGTGAGTGCGTGTGTGTGTGAGAGAGTGCGTGCACGTGTGCTCTCAAGGGCAGAGCGTGTCGAGGGCCAGCGTCCCGGTGTCCGCCCTCCTCCGGCTGGGTCTCGGGTAGAGACGCTCTGCGGGTTTCCGGGTCGGGCCTCTCCGGGTGAGGCGCGGGGCGAGCGCACAGAGCCGCCGGCGTGCGTGTGCAGCGAGGGTCCTCCTGGGAGCACGGCGCCCCCCCCCCCCCCGGGCTCGGAGTGGGCAGGAACCGCACCGTTCAACAGTCCCCGGGCGCGCTCCCGCGGCTCCGAACTGGACGCCCGGGGAAAGCGGCAGTGGCGGCGTCCAGTGGGACCGACCGATGCCACTGGGGAAGAGGGCGCTAGCGCCCCGGGGGGACTGGGCCCAGAGGAGGGCTCTGGGGGGGCTGGGCCGGGCGGCACACGTGCCCGAGTCTCAGTGCAGGGGCCCAGCGTCTGCGGGGAGCGCCGCCTGCCCCCGCCCCTCACTGCCCGTCTCGCCCCCGCGCCCCCAGGCCCGTGGCGTGGGGGGCCAGGCCGCCTGGGGCTCTGCGTGTGAAGCTGCGTGGAGGCGGTGCCCTGCCTCACACGTGCCCTGCTCTCCCACGTGCTCTCCCCCCAGAGAGGTGCCTGGAAGACCACGAGCTGGTGGTGCAGGTGCAGACCACCATGGCCAGCGAGAGCAAGTTCCTGTTCAGGAAGAACTACGGCAAATACGAGTTCTTCAAAAACCCCACCGTGAGTCTCAGCTCCGGGGGGCTGGGCGGGAGGAAGCCCATGCACTTCTCCAGCGGCTGCTCGGGGTTCCTGGGGGCGGGTCCCAAAGTAAGGCTGGGGGGGGGAGCAGCAGGTGGGCGGAGACTAGTATCCGCTGTTGAACGAGGCTCCTCCCTCAGTTCCGTCCCCAAGGGAGCGCAGGCCCGCGCAAGGGCAGGGGCGGGTGTCTCTGCCAGCAGCCGCAGGGGGTCAGTGGCGGGGGGGAGCAGGGCCCTTGGCCAGGCAGCGGCCCAGCAAGCGGGCGAGAGCGCGTCCCCCCGCGCAGCCAGCGGACACTGCGGTGTCGGTGCAGGGAGGGCAGAGAACCGAGCGTCCCGGCGCGTCAGCGAGCCTCCTGGCGGCTCTCGGCTTTTCCCTTTTGCACGTGGGGGCGGGGGCGCTGCCTGTCCTGTGAGTTACCAGCACGCAGGCCCCAGCCCTGTGTGACCTTCGCCCCCGCCGCCTGGGGGCCAGACCGGAGCCGCCTCTGACTCAGAGAGTCTCACTGCTTTCTGCGAAGTAGGAAGTGTGCTGAGCGGTTTGGGGGGTGCACCAGCGCAGCCTCTGCACACGACTGTGCTCCTCCCTGAGTTTCGGGAGTCCTTCGTCCCCTGCTGTGACGTGCCCGGAGCCACGATGCAGAAGGCCCGCCGCCTGGGGGAGGCGCGAGCGCACGTCCAGGCCAGGGGCGCTCCGGGTGCGCTCCCAGGGGCATTCAGAAGGCAGCAGGGCCGTCCGAGGCCGGGGTCGCCACCATGACTGTCGCTGGGCCGTGTTCGTGGACTGGCTCACCTGCCAGTGTGTGTTTCCCCACGTAGACGCTGCCTCCTAACCCGTCCGTTCTCCCTTTCCTGTAGAACTTCTTCCCGGAACAGATGGTTACCTGGTGCCAGCAGTCCAATGGCGGTCAGACCCAGCTCCTGCAGGTACGGGCCCACGGGCCTCTGTGCCCGGACAGCAGTCCTCCCTCGAGCTGCCGTGCAGCCTCGCAGAAGCTTGGAGAGATTTCGTTCTTACGCACAGACTAGCCTGGGCAGCCGCAGGTTCAGGGAAATCAAAAATGTGCGCAGTGCTCACTCGGGAAGTCGTGGGGAAAGTCGTGAGGAGCCAGGTCCTCCCAGAGCGCACGGCCCTGTAAACAGGAAGAACTCCCTCTGACCCGGAGCCTCCGGGCAGCGAGCAGGACGGAGAAGCTGTGGTCCCCGAGCCCATCTCAGAGCCCCAGTGAGAACCCTCGTCTCCACCGCCCCTCTGCCTCGCGAGGCCCCGGTGCACTTGCCGCTGATGTTCCAGGGGCCGGGAACGGACGAGGGAAGGTGCCGCAGCCCCCGGCACGAGGGGACCCAAAAAGCAGAACGCGTGTGTTAGTCTCGTGTGTCGACCCCTCGTGCTCAGGCTTCAGCCCCCTCCCAGGTGCTCGCCACTGGATGCCACGCGCCCACTGAGACGGTTTTCAGCTGCTCGGGACACTGTTGGACCTCGTCGATTTTGATGTGTTTTAGTGCGTCTGTTTTTTGTTCGCCTCTTCCACGTTGGCAAAATGTTTCCCTGCCTGTGAGGACTTTTTTCATGGAGGAAACAAGAAATTGTCGTTTGGTGCAAGATTGGGTGAATAGGGAGGGTAGGGCACAGGGGTCGTGCCATTTTTGGTCAAAAACTGCTGAACACTCAGTGCGGAGTGGGCAGGCGCGCTCCTAAATCACCCATCGTGCAGTGGGCAAACGCACCGAAAGAGGCTTTAAAACAATGCGCTGGAGCCGAACGCGGCCTCTCGCAACAATGCCCGCTGGCGCCCTGGCACAGATGGGTTCCGAGAGCACTCGCCTGGTGGGGGAGGCCCATCCGGCAGGAGGCCCGCCCTCCGGAAGACGATTCCGAATCTGCGGTCTCCTCTCGCAAATGTGTGTTCAGAGCGCGTTGGGGACGGAACAGATGGTTCCCTGGGGCAGCCACGCACCACAGCCGCCCAGGGTGGGGGAGCCACCAAAGCCGGGGCCCCACAGAGTTCCGCCCGTAGACCCCCGCCTCTGCCGGTTGGCCCCCACGTGTGTCTCTGGCCCCAACAGGCCAGGGCGTCCACGCTCAGTCCTGTGGTCTCTCCCAGAGGCCCCCCCCCCCCCGCGTGCAACAGGAGCTGGGGACGCGAGGCTGTCGTGGCCCAGTCGTGACGATGGCGCAGGGCCAGCGGTCTGGGCTCCCTGTCCGGCCCGAGGTCCTTTGTGGTCCTGAGGGTGTGCCACCATCGCCGAGGCTCCGGAAGGTCCGGCCCGGGTGGTCCGTCTCGCCTGTGGGAGGGCCATGTCCCCTCTCAGGCAGGTCAGCTCCCAGCCTCTCTACCCTGGAGGGAGAGGGCTGCCCACGGGGGGAGCTCACGGGGACTCTGGGCCGTCACGAGGGGAGGCCTCGTGCGGGCAAGCAAGCCTGGGTTCGCGGGAGTAGCCGCAGGCACCTCCAGGCGGCTGCTCCTGGCCCATCCTCTCCGCCGGGCCCCGCTGACGGAGCAGGGGGTCCGGGGCAGACTGGAAGGGGAGACGGGGCGCCCCCCGAGGGGCGGTGTGCTCTGCGCCCTTCCCAGAGGTGCGCGGGTCCGCCAGGCGCCGGCTGCGTCTTGTCTGTTCAAGGCCAGGTGGACTCGTGGGCCTTCTGAAGAGAAGCACGTCGTTTGAAAGTGCTCGGCTCGGCCGAAGGAAGGAACGTCTCGCAGACTCAGGAAACTGGATGCCGTCGGCGATGCCGAGGACCCGTCTGCTTCGACCCCCGTGTGTCCGCGTGTCTGACTGTCCACGTCTGCTCCCCACAGAACTTCCTCAACTCCAGCAGCTGCCCGGAGATCCAGGGCTTTCTGCACGTGAAGGAGATGGGCAGGAAGTCCTGGAAGAAGCTGTACCTCTGTCTGCGGCGGTCGGGCCTCTACTGCTCCACCAAGGGGTCCTCGAAGGTGAGCTCCGCACCACCCGTCTGCTGGCCTCTCCCCGACCCCAGGCGCCCACACGGACCTAGGACCCTCCGGGCTGCGGCCCACCTCTCCGTGGGCCTGCAGCAGCCAGCCCTAAGGGTCGTAGATTGTCTCTGTCCCGAGGCCGCCTGCTCCGTGCCGAGGGAGAGGTTTTGAGGAGTAAAACGCCGTTCACACGCACCCCCGGCGGGAAGCGGGGGAGAGCTGGGCTCGCTGGCACTCCCCGCTGGGGTCCCCTCGGTGTCTCCGGTCCGTGGCCACCAATGGTGGCAGCCACGCCTGGGTGGCCTGGGCCACGTGTTCCCCCCAAGAGCTGAAGCGTCTGCTCTGGCCCACAGAAAGAGGGAGGCCGGGGAGCCCCGGGCACAGGAGTCAGCGGGGGCGGGGGCAGGGGCAGGCTCCTTCCTCTGCAGAGGGGGCCTCTCCCGTCTGACACAGGGTGCCGCGGGCCACTCCCCACCTCCCAGCTCTGGTCTGGGGTTTGCTCGCCGGCCTCTCGGGCACCGGAGCCAGGGACCTGTGAGGCCGGGAGCAGGGGACAGAGCAGGGCAGGAGAGTGAGCCGGGGTGGGGGGTGGGGGTGCTGTCAGGGACACAGCAGGCACAGCGGGAGTCTGACACGCCACGCAGGGAAGTGGGATGGCACCTGCTTCTGAGCCTGTGCTGTTAACCTTGACCCCCGGGTTCGGGTTCCGTCCCCTCTGCCCTCTGACTGGCTGGCTGGCTGTGGGGCTCCGACTTGGCGGGGTGGCGAGCCCTCCCCGGTGAGCCTGCGGCTGTCCGCAGGAGCCCAGGCACCTGCAGCTGCTGGCCGACCTGGAGGACGGCAGCGTCTTCTCCCTGATCTCGGGCCGGAAGCAGTACAGCGCCCCCACGGACTTCGGCTTCTGTATAAAGGTACTGCGGCCCCCTGCCCTGTGCTCCGTCCCGAGGAGCATGCCCCTGGGACTGGGACTCGGGGCTCCCACAGGAGACCCTCCCTCGGTCGCGGCTTTAAAGGGAAACCAGACCCAGTGATGTGGTTCCACACTGGACTCGTTCCCTCGAGAAAACGTTTCCCGTGTGCTGCGCTGTGCTGTCTGTGAGGAGCCCCGAGGCCCAGAGGCCAGTGCGGCGGTGCGAACGGGCCGTCGGAGGCCCGGCCGGCTGGCGCCCCCCCGGGCCAGGCGCTCACTCCCGCCCCCCCCCCAGCCAAACAAAGTGCTGCACGAGCCCAAGGAGCTGCGGCTGCTGTGTGCGGAGGACGAGCAGAGCCGCACCTGCTGGATGACCGCCTTCCGGCTGCTCAAGGTAGCGGGGCCTGCCGCCTGGGGGCCGGGGGGGCTGGGCGTCCCCGCCTCCGCCGGGGCTCGCACGCTGCTCGCGGGGGCTTCGTGGGGAGGCCGGAGCCTGTTGCCGGCCTGGCCTCTGTGGACACCGGGGGTCAGCGTGGGCCCCGTGCCCGGTGGGTCCCCGGCTGCGCCCCTGGTCTCCGCCCTGTGGTGCCGTGGCGCCCCCACCAGGTGAGCCGGCCACAGGTGCCTCTGGATGGGGCCGAGTGCGCCCCGGGGCGTGGGGCGGGGAGATGCCCCGAGGACAAGGTCCGCTTAGAGGGCTAGGAGCAGGGACAGCGGCCGGGGGACCGGCCGCAGAGCGTGCGCAGGAGGGCTCATCGTTGCCGTGACTGCCCATCAGCCCCGGCTTTCCTGGGGGCACACAAGGAGCCAGCCGCGCAGCCCGCGCAGTGACCTGGCAGGCGGGCGTCTCCGGGCAGCAGGAGCTCCCAGAGGTCGATGGCAGGGGTCCCTGGGGGCCGCGCCCTGGACAGCCGTCTCCAGTCCTCGAGCAGCGAGTCCTCACACCTCCCAGTGGGGGCGGAGCCCAGGCCGCTCGCACGCTGCCCCCTGCTCTGCGCGCCCCGCGTGTCTGCCGTCACCCGCACGTGTGACGGCCCCCCAAGCTGCACGGTAGTCGACCGAGAGGAACTGGCCACGGTGTGCTCCATCGCCCAGGGCCCACCCAGAGCCTGGGAGTGCCGTCGCTAGAACCGCAGCCCTCCCGACGCCCAGCCGGCCCGAGACTGCAGGTGGACGCCCCGAGAGGCCCGGGCGGGCGGGCGCTGAGCTCGGACGCCCTGCGGGGACGCACTCCCCACGGCCTCGGGCACGGGTGCCCGGAGCCTCTCCGCCCGGAACCTGGAACCTCTGTGCTGCTTCTGCCGCCGATAGAACAGAGAGGGACTGACAGTGCGGCCGCACTCCCTGGGGACGGGCGAGGACGGTCAGTGCCGGGCGAGCCGGGCCGCATCCTCGTCACGGCTGCGCCCCGACCAGCCAGCCCTGAGTCTGAGTGCCCATCCCTGGGGCCGCCCCCGGGAAGACGGGACGTCCAGGCCCAGGAAGGAGGCAGCCCCAGGGCCCCCTGCGGGGACTCGTGGGGGCCCAGCGTCGGAGGGCCGAGTGCGGAGAGCGCGCTGCCCGAGTCTTGCTGCCCTGTGCGTGCGAGCGAGCGTGCGTGCGAGGGCGGGTGGTGCGGGGCGAGTGTGCGTGGGAGCCCGCCAAGGGGCAGACGTGGCGGGGACCCCTCGGGCTCCGCACACGCGTGCGGCTCTCCGGTCTGCGAGCGCACGGCCCGCGCCGGAGAGAGGAGGAGACGACCGGCAGCAGGGACGGGTGGCTGGCTCCGCGGGGCTCGGGCTCCCCGGCGCCAGCCACTGACTCTGGCTCCCCCTCAGTACGGGATGCTCCTCTACCAGAGCTACCGCGTCCCCCAGCAGAGGAAGGCCTCGCTGTCCCCCTTCTCCACGCCCGTGGTAAGTGAGCCCGCCGCCCCCCCCAGCCAGGGGCCCAGCCAGCCGCTGCGTCAGCACTGGCGCCCGCCCACCCGCCCGCCCGCCCGCCCAGTGGGGAGCTCAGAGCGAGTGTGTGCATTCCAGAGACGCCATTCCGACCCACAGCGCCCCAGGCCAGGAGGCCAGCTCAGTCCTCGCAGCAGAGGGACAGCTGGGCACAGCTCTTCGGCCGTCCTGTGCCGGTCCCCGCAGCCCCAGGCCGTGTAGGTAGACGCTCTGCTCAGGGTCCGGACGGGTGGCAGCGGCAGGGCTCCACGGAGGAGCCGCTCCCTGCCTCCGCCTTCCCTCCGGCCCGAGCCCCCGGGCGCCATGACAGGCGGGCGCCCCGGTGAGAGCGAGCGCACCGCACCGCGAGCCCCCAGAGGCCCGGCCACGCTGCACCCCCGAGGCTGCGCGCCCCGAGGCTGCGCGCCCCGAGGCTGCGAGCCTAAAGACCCGCGGTGCCCGTCTCCGGGACCTCCGTCGCCCCGCGCCCGCGTGCCCGCGGGAGGGACGGCCGCTGTGCGGACGGGGCTCCGGGACGCTGCCGCTGCTCTGAGGCTGTGAGTGCCAGTCGGGCCGGTCCCCGGCACCGGCGGCCTCGCCCTCCCCCTCGGGGTGCGCCCCCGCTCCCCTCAAAGGGAGCCGGAGCTGTTTTCAGCTCCAGGGCCCTTTTGTTAGCCTCGCCTCCCGAACCTCGGAGAGTCGGGGCAGGCGGCGCCCGGCGCCCTCTCCGCCCGGGGCCCCCGCCCCCTGACTCTCCGACCTGTGGCTCCCCTTGCAGCGCAGCGTCTCCGAGAACTCCCTCGTGGCCATGGACTTCTCTGGGCAAACGGGAAGAGTGATCGACAACCCGGCCGAGGCCCAGAGCGCAGCCCTGGAGGAGGGGCACGCCTGGAGGGTGAGGTCACGCGGGGTGGGTGCCGCTGCTGCGCTCCCGGACGGCGACTGTGTGGGTGCAGGCAAGGGGCTTGGGGCCGGGAGGGGGAGGCGGGCCCGGCTCTCCACGGTGGGAAGCGGGGGCTCCCAGTTTGGGGCCACCCCACTGCCCCTGTCCCCTGGGCTCCCCGACGGAGCGGCGCGGGGACGGGGCGTCCTGGCCCAGGCACGGGACTGTCCCTGCTGCGGACCACGGGGCCTCGTGGCTGCGCCACTGGCCAGCTCCGTGACCTGGAACGGTCCTCCCCGTGAGGCTCGAGGTCCTCATCTCCAGGTGGAACGACGTCACCCGCGCCCAAGTGGTTCTCACACTTACAGACAGCGCCCGGGGCACGGGCCCGCGGCTCTGGCTCCGCGGTGCTCCCCGCATGTCTGCCCGGGGGGTGCGGGGAAGGAGGCGTCCCCCCAGCTCCGTGTCCTGGATGCCAGCCCTCAGGCCGGCGGGTGGGCGGTGGGCGGTGGGGAGCCCTGCGTGGCTGCCCTTGGGTGGGATGGGAGCTGAAAGCCCCACCCCAGGGTGCCCTGTGGTCGGGAGCCCCGCAGGCACCCCGCAGGGCACTTGGGGTTTTGTTTGGAGCAGCCACGCCCCGAGAGCTCTTTGTTCTCCGTGGGCAGAGGGGGCTGGGCGGGACCTGAATAGGCTGGAGTCGCGGCCGCCCAGGCTCGCGGGTGTCCCCCAGGGGTGTGTGCGGGTGCCTGGGGGTGGTGTCTCTCTGCTGGCGTCCCACTGACACGGGTGCTGGTTTTGCAGAAGCGGAGCACCCGGATGAACGCTCTGGGTAGCCAGAGTCCCCTCCACCCTTCCAACCTCAGTGCAGGTACACTGAGCTCTGTGTGTGTGTGTGAGGGAGATGGAGCGGCCCTCCCGCCCCCAGCAGCGTGCCCTGGGAGTGTGGCGTGGGAGGGGGTCGGCTTGCCGTGGGGCGGCCCCGTCGAGGGGCCGGGACCGACTGCCCTCCCCCCCGCCCCCCCGCAGTGATCCACCGCACCCAGCACTGGTTCCACGGCAGGATCACCCGCGAGGAGTCCCACCGGATCATCAAGCAGCAGGGGCTGGTGGACGGGTAAGCGGTGCCCACACTCGGCCCTCCTCGCGCAGGGGAGCGGGTGCGCTCGGAGGTGCGCGTGCCGTGTGCGGCTCGCCGGCCGGCGGGGGTCAGGAGCGGGCTCGGGCCCCGTTTCTGTGCGTGCTCTGCTGCCTTTTGCCGAGACACAGCACGAGCTGCTTAGTGGCGATCAGTTAGGCCACGGGCAAATGCGAGAAAGGATTCTGTCCGCGAGTTTTGGGGAAGGCGGCAGGTCAGGCAGCCTTTGCAGAGAGCAGACAGGCAGCCCCAAACACAACAGGACCGGCTCGTCGCCCACCCTCGGAGTCAGGTGAGCCGCTTCTCCGGCCGGAGCCCGCTCGCAGGCGCCGGGTGGCCTCCCTCACGCGCCCGGTGGCCGTGAAGAGTGACCACTGCGCCACCGCTTCGCGGGGCGGCGGCCCCCCCCCCCGCCCGCCCCCTCCATCAAAGCCCGGCTGCACTCGGCACCCCCGTGGTGGGGAGGGGTGCGGGCCAAGGATGTGGGTGCAGCCCTGGGGCCTCGAGGGCCCCGTCCACTGTCCCCGGCCCCGACCACCAGCTGGTCCCACCGCGCCTGCTCCCCTCCCCATGGTGCTGTTTCCTCCTCTTCCTCCTCTTCCCATGCTTCCTTCCTGCCTGCCTGCCTGCCTCCTGGAGCATTGTTCAGGAAGCCCGAGACACGGGTTGTGTAGCGGCGAAGTGTCTCAGTGCTCAGCTCTGGGACCCCCAGGCCGTCGTCTGCCAGCACGGCCGAGGGTCACCCTCACATGGGACGATGCCGGCACACACACCTCCCTCTTGCCCAGCACCGGGGTCTCGCTCCCCTCCTCCCCGACGCTCAGAAAAAGGGTCTTCAAGTGGAGCCGGTGTGAGCCAGGGCCCGCAGACCGCCCCGGTCCCGGCGTGGCCCAGTCTCCGTGCAGGCGGCCGTCTCCCACCCACCCCGTTGTCCGCTCCCCGCCCCCCACTGTCCTCTCTCCCTTTTCCCCAGCCTCCGCCTGCCGGAGCAGCTGCGCGGTCACCAGGGACCCATGGCGCTCGGCTCCCCCGCTCCCTGCGAGGGCCAGACTCGGCCTTGGCCCCGGCCCTGGGGTGGGGGGGAGGCCGTGGGGGGTGCGGGGCGGCGCGCCCCTGCCCGCAGAGGCAGCCTGGTGGCCCTCCTCCTGGGCGACGTGGGCCTGGCCCCCCTGACGGGCCCTCCCCCCACTCAGCGCGCCATTTTGGCAGCCAGCGGTCCCCGCCTGTCTGCACCTGTCTCCGCGGGCACAGAGCCCCCCAGTTCTGACTCTGCGCCCCGTCGTTGCTCAGCCGAAACCACCACCCTCGTGTGTGCGCTCTCCCGTGACGCCGGGCCAGCGCGTCACTGTGGGTGTGCGGGGCCCTGGCTTGGGGCCCGCTGTCCTGGGGCCCCGCTGTCCTGGGGAGTGGCGGGCGGGGGCTGTACTGTGTTTCACGAGCTGCGAGCTCAGGCCCTCCCGTGTCTGGCTGACCGCAGACAAAGTGCGTCCTCCCTGGTGCTGAGAGTGCCGTCCTTCTGGCGAGGGACGCCCTTCTGGCCGGCCCGAGTCCGCCCGAGACCCAGTGCTGCTGTTCAGCGTCAGCAGTGACCGGCCCCCCGGGCCCACGCGCCACGCTTCCCCCGCTCCTTCTCGCGTGGGAGGGGGCCGGGGCCGTGGGTCTGTCCAGGGGCGGAGCCGGAGCCCGTGCTCTTCTGGGCTGCGGGAGGGGCGTCTCCCTCCTCTCACTTTGTCCGGGAGTCTCGCTGAGGCCCTTAGCTCTCGCCTGGTGCTCCCCCCCGCCCCGTGCTGACGGGCTGCCTCCTGGCGGACCTGCGACCTCGACCTCGGGTGGGGGGACCCCTGACGTCCCCTTCCTCGGTGCCCTCCCCCTCCTCCCGGAGGGGCCTGCGACCGCCTGGCTGCCAGTGGCCCCCAGCGGGGCCCCGGCCTGCAGCACGGTCAGGCTCCTTTGTTCCGGCTGCTTGCTCGTCTTCTTCCTGCGCCCGAGGTTTTCCCCTTCGGTTCGAGGCTGCTGCTCTCTGGGGTTTCTGGAAGCTCTCCCCCAGTCCCCCGGTCCCCCGGTCCCCTGGTCAGAGCCAGGAAGCAGGCGTGTGCTCCGTCGGCCGCTCCCGGACCGCAGCCCGCGGAAGGGGCGCTTTTGCAGCGGCCGCCTGTCCCGCCCCGCCGCTCTGCTCGCCCACTTCCCGGGCGGGGCGCGCTCACGTTCCCGTCCTGCCCCTGCTCCCTGGGGCCCGGGCTCCGCTCCCCGGCCTGCGCCCCTCGCTAGGAGCAGGGGGCTCGGTGCCGCCAGCAGGCCCTGCCAGGCCCCGGGTGCACTGGCGTCTCGACGTGGGGGCGTGGGGGGGGCATGGGGGGGAGGGCGCGGGTCACACTGTGCAGCGTGGCCGGGCTCCCCCCGCGGGGCGGGCACCTCGAGGGACGCCCAGGAAGCCTGAGAGCCGCACTTGACCCTCGGCCTCCACCGGCCCCCAGGGAAGCAGCAGTCCTCTCGGCTCGGCTTACGTGTGGGGGCGCAGGGGGGGCTGTTCCTGGTGCCTCCAGGTACGCAGATGTCCGCACGCAGTCCCATGGTCCTCGTTTCTGCCCGCGTCCCTCCGGACTTGCGACTGCCTCGCTGTGTGGCTGGGTCCCCCCCACTTCCGAGTCACACAGGGACTCCTTCGGGCTGTCTCCTAGGGCTCCTTGTCGTCGTGTGTCTTTTTTCCTCCCCCCTTCCCTCCCTTCCCCTCCCTTCCTTCCTCCCTCCCTCCCTTCCCCCTCCCTTCCTCTCTCTCTTTCTCCCTCCGTTGCCCCCTCCCCCTCCCTCTCCCTCCCTCCTCCCTCTCTCTGCTTCTCTCTGTTTTTCTCTTTCTTTCCCTCTCTCTCTCTCTCTCCTTTTTTTCTGTTCATCTCTGTTTGTTCAGGTCCCAGATGCATTGAGAATTGATTTACTCTGCGGGACCATGTAGAGAACAGATCTATTTCATTTTCTGTTTCCGGGGGCCACACGGCTAGCCCAGAGCCGCTCGTTTGCAGCGTCACCTTTGTCGCAGAGCAGTCCCTGCCCGAGCACTGGGGACGGCCCCCCTGACCAGGAGCCGGGGTGTCTCCCTGTGGCTGCTGGCCCGCAGGGACAGAGCCGCCCCTCGAGTGGACACGGCGTGCGTCCCCGGGGAACCCAGCACACACCCACACCCCTCGGCAGCCCCGCCGTGTGTCAGGACGGAGCCCAGAGTCCTGGTTCCCAAGGCGACACTGCTTGTCCAGTCGTCCCTGAGGAGTGAGGGGTCTGCTTGCCCTGCCAGGTCGAAGGGCAGAGAGGCGCGAGTCCCGGGGGCCGTGACCCCGGGCTGTGGCCGTAGAGGCCCGAGGCTGTGGGAGGGGTTCCCGCGTCCCCGAGCAGCGAGCAGCGGTGGCCTCTCAGCTGGTGGGGGGGGGGGGGTGTTTGGAAGGCACTTCCTCAGGGATCCTGGGCTGGGGCCCGGCAGCCCCTGCACTGGCTCTCCAGGGCGGTGGGCAGCCCCCCCAGCCCCCCCAGCCCCCGAAGCGTGTGCCAGCTCCACTCCTTGCTGTGCGAGCCCCATTTGCGCGCGAACAGCCCCCAGCTTGAGTGTCACGGGGGCAGGCGTCCCATCGTCTAGGCGTGGGGGGAGCGTGGGGGCCCCGGCTCTGTGTCCTCCCCAGGCCTCCTTGTCACCAGGGTCACAGCCCTCCGTCCTGCCGTCCCACCACTGGCGCCCTGGCCGAACCAGAGACGCAGAGAAGGGCTCCTTGGGTCCCGGCGCCTGGCCTGTGCTGGCCCCCGCAGCGTGAAGGAGGGGAAGGGCTCAGGGACGCCCTCTGTGGCCGCAGAGCGGGGGCGGGGCCTGGGACAGCGGCGGCTGGGGCGATGTGGGCACTGCGGGCCGGCACACGGGCCGCCCCCACGGCGGGACGGAGGGGGGGGGCTGTGCACACTCACGCCCCACCGGCCCTGCAGGGGCGCGAGCTCCCCGCCCTGAGCCCTCCCCCGGGCGGCGCGTCTCCTCGGGCGTCCTCCTCTGACTCCTGGGACGCGGCCAGGCGCTGGAGCCAGTTGTCCAGAACGGGCCTCGGCCTGGGCGGGCCTGGGGGCTCAGGGTTGGCTCAGGTGCTGCGTGGTGGGGGGGGGGGAGGGCGGGCAGGGAGCCGCCGCACCGCGCCCTCCTGGTGGAGGTGCCCTGGGTGCAGGGGGAGGGCGTGTGCGCCGGGCGCTCTCCCCTCGGAACCACACGTGTGAGGGGTGGATGCTCCGCCGGTCCCGCCGGTGTTCGCCGCCATGGAAGGCCACCGCCTCGGTCGGCCACTCCTGCGTGGTCGCTGAGGCCAGCCTCCAGCCTGGCCGTCCGCTCGGAGGAGGAGGAGGGCACCCCCCCCAAGCCAGCCCGCGACACCAGCGAGCACGCAGCAGTCCCCGCTCGGCTCTGCGGCCCGTGCCCCGCCCTCTGCTGCCGGCTCTGGGGCTGGCAGCCTCCAGCGCCTCCCTGCTCCCGCCGCCTCCTGAGTGTGCAGCCCGGGGTCCCCGGGAGCCCCGTTCCTCTGTGGGGGAGGGGCGGCAGGAGCCGCACTCCGCAGCCACCGTCCGGCTGCAGGGGGGGTGCCGCCCCCGCCAGAGGCCCCTCGGCTGCTGAGGCCTCCAGAGCATCACGGCTGGACGCCCGTCGGGCCCGCCGGAGCCGGTGTGTGCGTGCGGGTCTGTGAGCAAGCGGCGCTCTGGGCTCGGAAGGTAACAGCCAGCTGTCGCCCGCTCCCCAGGCTGTTCCTGCTCCGCGACAGCCAGAGCAACCCGAAGGCCTTCGTCCTCACCTTGTGCCACCACCAGAAGATCAAGAACTTCCAGATCCTGCCCGTGAGTGCCGGCGCTGCCTCCCGCACCCCCCCGGGTCTCCCTCCCTGGCTTGGTTGTGTTTTTATTGAACGTACCGGGGTGGTGGCTGGTGTGATCCTTAGTTAACTAAGTTTCAGGTTGCGAACAAAGCATACGGCAGACCACCGGCAGTCAGGCAGGGCCAGGCTCGCAGACGAGACCCTCGCAGCGGTCGCTCTGAGCGGGCGGGGCGGCAGAGCGAGGGGGGGCGGGAGCTGGGGAGGAAGCACAGGCGGGCGGCCCCCGGCGTGTCCTGCTGCAGCCACGCGAGCCCAAGGCTGCCTGCTCTGTGCGGGCGTGTTCCCGGGTGACGCAGGACATGGGGGACACTCAGGGTCTGGGACCCGCACAGGAGTGGCCTTGCTCTGTCCGCTTGGCCCTGGGGTCCGTGCCCAGGGCCGAGCTTCGAGCAATCTCAGAAACACCGTCAGTGTCAGTGACCGCCAGCTCACGTGGCGTCGGCAGCCGTGTCCAGTGCGACATGGCCCTGTCTGTGCCGCGCCGCAGCTCGGACTCTTGGCCATGCCTCCCGGAGCCCCGGCCCGGCCGGGGGTGAGGCATGCATGAGAACGGCACAGGTCCCTGCCCCCTGTCCGCCGGCCAGGCGGGCTCCGAGGAGGCTGACCAGCCCTGAGTGCACGGTTTCGCACTTGAACCTGCTGGTGTTCAAGCTGGTTTGCTGCCAGGACCTCAGACCAGTGGTCCCAAGAGTCCTGCAGGGGCCGGAGGCGGGGGAGGGAGCGGCCGTGGTGCCGTGGCGAGCTGGCGGCGCTGCTCCCTGCCGCTGGTGCCCCCCGCTCCTCCCGGGAGGACGGGACGGAGCTGGGTCTGAGCCCAGGCCCTCCCAGACCCCACGAGGCGCGTGCGGAGCCCAGGCATCCTTGTGTGAGAGGAAGCGCTCTGGTCACGGTCCTCTCCGCCTCCCTGCCCCGGCCCCCGGTGCCAGGCGAGGGGGGCGAGGCACTGCAGGGTGGGCGGAGCCCGCAGTGCCCCTCCCCCAAGCAGCCCCACGTCCTAGAAGCGCGGGGGGTGGGGGGGCAGGGAGCGGGGACACGGAGTCGTGGCTCCAGCCTCAGAGACAGGCTGCTGGGCCGCCTCTGGACGCCGGGCCGAGCTCACAGCCTCCCCGGGGCCCGGCAGCCTGCGTCCTGGTGCGGCCCTTGAAGTTCAAACGGGTTGCGTTAAAACCAGTGTAGTGACAGAACTGACCCTTGACCAACACGGGTTTGAACTTACGGGTCCACTTACGGGCGGATTCTTTGTAACAGCCCTGGCTGGCGGGGCGCAGCGGGTTGAGCGCGGGCCTGCGCACCGAACCGTCCCCAGCTCAACGCCCAGCCGGGGCGCACGCCTGGCTGTGGGCCAGGTCCCCAGCAGGGGGCACTAGAGAGGCAGCCCCACGTTGATGTTCTTCTCTTTCCCTCTCTTCCCCCTCTAAAAAAAATAAGTAAAATCTTTAAAAAAAGTCAAAATTCTAGAAAACAACAAAAAAGATTTTCTTAATGACATTCTTTCTCTAAATTAATGTAAGAAAACTGCATATTTTATATATATATATATCAATGGTGTATGCCAGGGGCTTCGGGGGCGGCCTGCGAACACCCCAGGCTACCTGGCCAGCGCCCCCCTGCTCCGGGGCAAGCTCAGATCAGAGTCAGGGCTCCTGGCCTCAGGGTGAGGGTGCCCCGGGGCCCAGGCAGCGCCCAGTCCCCACCCCCGCCGCCCACCGGGCATCTCCCGGCCTGCCCGGCCGGCAGAGCCGCGGCCCCAACCGCGGGCGCCTTGTGTCTCCACAGTGCGAGGACGACGGGCAGGTCTTCTTCAGCCTGGACGACGGGAACACCAAGTTCTCCGACCTGATCCAGCTGGTCGACTTCTACCAGCTCAACAAGGGCGTGCTGCCCTGCAAGCTGAAGCACCACTGCATCCGCGTGGCCTTGTGAACCCCCGGCCGGCGCCACGCCCGCGGGGCAGGGGGCCCCGGAGCGGGCGGGGGGCGGGGGTGGGCGCCCTGGAGAGGGCGGGGGAGTTGTGCGTGGTGGAGAGTACCCTTGGATGCTGCGCCGTGGGGGCGCCCCTGTCCCCTGCGGTGCCGACCGCCACGGTCGGTCGATTGGTTTTTTGGCTTTGTGGCGCTGCGTGGCCGCGGCTCTGGCGGCCGGACCGGGGCACGACAAAGCGAGCGCACCCTCGAGGGCAGCCGGGACGACTGTCCCGCCCGGCTCCGTGCGCCTCGCACAGAAGTGATTGGAAGCGAACTCTTGCCCTGGAGTAACCTTGACGTTAAAACTGAGATGTTTACTTGTTTTGTATTGATCGCGTTTGCACTCCCCTGTCCTCCACGTCCGACTGGGCCCGTGGCGGCAGGGGCGTGGCTCCGCAGTGCACGCAGTGGGCAGGTGGCGTCCAGTGGGCCCACGGCTGGGCCGGAGCGCGGCCCCCTCGGGGGCCTGAGGCGTCCCCCCTTCCCCACATCACCGTGGGTGGATTCGGCTTCCAGACGCGCAACGCCTTCGCCCTGCTCAGACTCCCGCAGTGCATCCTCACGGAGACGGCGTCGCCCGGGGTCGGCCAGCCTCGGGCCTGTTCTGTGGACCAGCCAGGTCGCCGCAGCCCCGGTCACCTCTGGGGACCTGGCGTCCACGCCCCGTGTGTGGGGGTCCCGTCTTCCACAGTTCAGAAGCCTTGACTCCCCGGGACACCCACAGTGTCCCGCACCCTGCAGGGTGGAGTGGCCACGCCGCTGGCTGGAGACGGGCAGTCTTCCTGAGACACGCCTGGTGACCTCGCCCGCCCACCCTGGGTGCTCGCGGCCTGCTCTGGAACGGCCGCTGCCCGACCCTGATAGCGACGCAGGTCCCGCCGGGCCTGCCCGCCCTCGGGGGTTCGAGGCTCTGGCGAGAGAACGCCGCCTGCGTGGTGTCCCCCTGGGGCCACTGGCTTCAGCGGCGGTGACAATGGGAGCATTGAAAGGGAGCCCAGAACTGGAGGTCTGGGTGTCACCACCCCTTCTTGCTGACACCCTGAGGCCGCGTGCGAGGTGGCAGGAGGCTCCCCCTGCCGGCTGGAACCTCACAGCGGCCACGGGCCCGGAGGAGTGGGTCAGCAGGGTGTGCTCCCCCCAGGGAGCGCCCCCCCCCACGAGCCCCCTGGCCCGGGCGGCGCCCCCAGGCCCGCGAGCAGCTGCGCCTTCGCTCCTGGTCCCCGACGAGCACACAGACCGCTGTGGCAAAAAGTGATTTTCTTGTCCGGAGCGATCGTCCCAGCGCGCCCCTCTGCTCGTCCCACCACCGGCCTGCCCCCGCCCACCCGCCCGCTGCAGGGCTCCCCAGAGACACAGCCCAGGCCTGATGGGCCGTGGGGGCCGCCCCAAGGCGGGCCCCCGCCGGGAACAGCCCCCGCATTTACTCTCCGGGCTGCGTCCCGGCTGTTTCCCCGGACTGCTCCGTGTACCCAGGGGGCAGCCGCGGCGAAACGTGTGTAGCCGACGCCCAGTTATGCGTTCTTCCCTGTAATCCCGCCCCCTTTCAAGCCATTGACCTTTAGGCGAGTCTCGAGTCACCCTCCCTGGCGGCCAGCTGCCCCGAATTCATGGAAGGGCCTGACCCTTCAGGACACACATTCGTCCCTCCACCGGGCGGAAGTGAAAGCCTCCCCACCGCCACCGACAGACGCCTGCGCCCCCCCGCCCCGGTGAGAGGAGCGCTCGCGCCCTGCCCAGCAGACACCTGGCACTGGCCGCGTGTCGTGCTCCTCAGCACGCGTCCCTCTTCAAGGGTGGCATGTCCGTCTCCGGTGCGCACACAGCTAGTGCGACCCGGCCTCCCGCACCTCCCGGGGCCGGCGAGTCCTCGGCCGGTGCCCGCGTGCCGGGCCCCGCCCGGGGCCCCCGGGGAGGCAGGCGCCCACCGCCGGCCAGGGCCCAGGGGCGTGCGACCTTTATTTTTGTATTTCAATGACGTGAATGTAAACGGGACAGCTCAGGGTCGCCGTGGGGCCTGTTGACTCCTCGTCTCCGCCTGTGACTCCGTCTGAACGACAACGCCGCCAGCAGCCTGGACCGAGTGGAGGAGGAGGAGGAGGGCGCCGGGCTCCGGGGCCGCCGGGCTCCGGGGCCGCCGCGCTCCGGAGGGTCGGGCTTCCAGGACGCTCTTCCGTTCGCTGCACCTCGAAGAAACATGTGCCTCAGTCTAGAAGTTTTGTCCGCTTGCCTCTGCGCACCCGACGGCCTGACCGGCCGGCTCACCTGTGGGGGGCGGGACTTGTTCCCGGTAGAGTGTGACGCCACCGCAAGTGCGGTGGCCCGCGGAGCGGCCGGTGTGTACGTGTGTGTTTGCGGGGTGTGCAGAGATTGTTCGCTTGCGAGACAAAGCTTTATCCCATGTGCTTTGCTCCTCTTTGTACATAGCTCCTTGGCTCATGAACCTAATCGTGAACTTTCAGGTATTTTTGTACCAATAAGGGACTGATAATCTGTTTCTTGTAATTTGAAATAAACATTAATACAGTGTTCTTCATTTTCTATTGGCTGTAGCGTCTGTTTCTGTGCCGTAGGACTCTCCCGGGGTTGGCAGCTAACACCTCTGCGGCGGCCCTGGCCGGTGGCTCCGCTGGCCAGAGCGTCAGCGTCCCACTCGCCCAGAAGGCGGGCGGTTCGACGCCCGGTCTGGACACGCACCTCGGTCGTGGGTGTGTGCGGGGGCCAGGCAGCCCAGGCCGCTGGCTCCCAAATCAGTGCCCGTGTTTCTCCGAGGACGCCTTTGCAGCGATGTAGCACGTTAACGACACGCTGCTTTGCGCTGGTGGGAACGCGTCCGGGAGGGGCCGCAGGGGACACGCCCAGATGCCGGCAGCCCCCCTCCACCCCGTCACTGACCAGGCCAGGCGGGCTCCGCGCTGCAGCCCCAGTGCGGGGACGTGGGCCCCAGGAGGCCTCGGGGGCAGGTCCCCACCCGGGGGGGCAGGTCCCCACCCGGGACGAGCGAAGGCCCCGAGAAACCCGCAGACACACATCAGACGGGCCCGGCGGCACCGTGCCCGCTGCCGAGGCAGGGGCGGCACCAGGAACGCGGGTTTTCCGGCTGGACAGGAGAACAGCGGAAAGGGTAGGGGACTGGCCGCCCCGTGTCCCTGCTTCCGGAGGACCTCGCCCCGGGGCCTGCGTCCATGCCCCAGGCCGGCAGACCACGAGGGGCCCGTGAGCCAGCCTCGCCCCTCAGCAGGAGCTCCCTGGCGGCACCCTGGCCACCCACCCCTGCCACTGGTTTCCGAGAGGGTCCTCTGTGTCCGGGAGCCCTCCCTCCATCACCCTCCCCAGGGCTAGCCCCTCTGCCCTGGTCCTCCCCCCCCGCGCCCCCCCCCGCCGGTGGCTGAGCTGGTCCCCCGCCCCGGGCCGTGCCCCCCACCCCGGACAGCGGTTTGCACGCTCACAGACCCCGCTGTCCCGCATCCCCTTGTCCCGGCCATCTCCCCAACAAGCCTGGATGGGGGGGGCCTTCATTTCGACGGAGCCCCACTCCCGCCAACATTTCAACCTCACTTGTTCGAGGAGAAGCCCGGGGTCGTTGAGCAAAGCCTGTGGGACACAGAGGAATAGACTCAATAGTTGAGAAAGTATGTCCCTGTGGCCTGGAGGCCTGGGCCACAAAACCAGCCTCAGTTTTCAGTGGCCAAAACGGGGCAGCCTGATTGGTGGAAAGAGTCACGGTGACACTGAGGTGACAGGAAGCCAACCACCCACGGGGGGGACGGGGGGGGAGCGGGACACACACACACACACACACACACACACACGCACTTCCCCGCCCGGAGGCGCCTCTGAGACGAGCCCTGGGGGACTTTGCCCGGGGGCCGCTGCAGGCCCTGCCCGACAGCAGCCTGCCTGCTCGCCCTGCCGGCTGGCAGCCCTAGCCCCCTGTTCTCCAGTCACGGCCCAGGGCAAGCTCAGCCCCTGGCAGGCACCAGCCGACCTGAACTTGACCTCGGAGGTCAGTCAGCGTCAGACCTGGAGAGAGGTGAATCCCGCATGCTTGAGGGAAACCCCCATACACCTGAGCTCTTGTCACTTTGCACCAAGCAGGGGGCACCGGCGGGAAGGGCTGGAGGCCAGGAACTGGAAGGAGTCGCAGGTGGCGCCCCGCAAGGTCAGGCGGCGTTGGTCCCGACCTGACTGTGGGGTCTCTCCCCGTAGGGGCCACCGGGGACCCCGGCAGGGACGGCCCCGAGTCCCCAGGCCCCACGCTGGGCACGAGCGATAGTTTGGGGGTGGGGGGCCGGAGCGACCCGGCCGCCCTGTCTCTGCAGGAGGCAGCCGCCCGCGGCCCGGTTGCTCGGGCCCTCGGGGGCGTGGCGTCCAAGGGTCGCCTGCGGGCTCGAAGGGCGGTGAACCGCCGCCGCCTGGAGGGCGGGGAGCTGCGCCGGGCCCCCCGGAAGTGGGGGGCCAGCAGGCGCTGGGCGTGGATTCCCACCCCGAGGAGCAGGCTCTCGCTGAGATGGGGCCGCTCTGCAGCCCCGGACGGGTGACGCCCAGGCCACTGTCCCGGCTGCGGGCGGCGCTTGCCGGCGACCACGGCGCCAGGCGGGCCCTCCGGGGCGGCCCGCTCCCTTGGGGGCGTCCGCTGGTGGCGAAGGAGCCGGGGAGCCGCTGCGGGTCTGCGCACACGTGCACCGCCGCGGGCTGAGCCGGCGGAGCCCGCACAGCGCCCCCTGCGGGTCCCTCGCGGGCTGGCAGTCCGGGTCGCAGGGGGTCCCAGGTCTCCACCAGGCGGGGGCGTGGGGGTCGGAAACGGTCGCCACAGCCCAGGACACGGCTGCCACGTTCTGCGAGACGGGCACACAGCTCCCCCTGGGGGCGTGGGCGGGGCGGGGGCAAGGGCTTATCTCGGCCGGAAATTAATGTTTAACTCGGGGCTGAAGGCCTAAGGCCTTGGAGACACGTGTGTCTCAGCTGCCGGGTCAGAGAACCCTGGCCGCTTCCCTGCGTCCCACCCCCCCGAGCCGCAGGTCCTGGGCGGTGAGGAGCCTCGCGTCCCCGCAGGTGAGTCTCTGCTCTCGTTATTTAATCGGAGTCTTGTTGGCAGCACCTGCACCTCGGGCTGTCACCTCACAGTGCAGAACCTTCGCTTAAAGGTTAATTCCCTTGGGGGCTGGAAATGACACGGGTGACAGGCCCCTTCCGGCTGGTGCCAGCTGCTGCCGGAGTGACAGCCCGGAGGCGGCAGACCTGACCTCTGCTCCTCTCCGCTGCTCTCCGCCCCAGCAGGCTGGGCGCTGCCCCCCCCCCTCGCCCCAGCCTCTGTCTCTCCCTCTGTGAAATGGGGGCTCGCCGTAGCGCCAGGATATGATTACATGGAGTCTGGAGAGTCTCCGGCAGCGGGGAGATGACGCATAAACGTTAATACTCCCCTTATCTCGGGTCCTGTACGTAGGAGACATTTTGTTTCCATTTCTGGTGGATGCTCGTATTTCTATTGAGATGCCCTTTTTTCTTATTGAAAAGGCCTTTCTGCATTCTCTCCTAATACAAATGGCACGAATGTATAATGCACAACCAGCACTGTGCATTTTAAACTGCGTCCCCCGCCTTGGAGGTCGTGTCCCTCGTTCGTGTGCTGGAAGGACAGGCATTCTCACCAGCCACGGCGTCGCCTCGGCCGGTCTTTCCCGGCTCGCCTGTGAAGGCGATCCGTAAGAAACCTTCCCCCCCCCACCCAAGGCCGTAAGCACACACCTCTCTGTTGTCCTGAAACTTGGCCTTTCAGTGAAGGGTTTGACCTACCAGGAGGGAGAACCAGGTTCAATGTCACTTGTCCCCAAGTGCTGACCAGCTGTCCCAACGCCATTCACCAGTCCATCTTCCTTGACTGCTGTCCTTCTGTAACTGGAAAAGACACCGGCGTTCAGGCCGCCTGTCACTACCAAATCCAATAAGCAATGACAGTGATTGAATCCTTTATGGGCGCTGTAATCAGACGGCCAGCGATCCGAGAAGATGGCGGGTTCACACCCTAACAAACCGTCTCCCCCCTTCTTTCCTGGCCAGACCTTTTATAAGGTGGGGGGGTGGATAAACAAGGGGCGGCGAGGACTGTGAAATCCAGGGAGGGTTAGGTGAGCGAAGATGCAGCATCCCCGTCCTGGGCAGTGGGCTGTTCCCGGGGGAGGGTGGTCACCTGCTCTCCCCGGAGCACGAAAGGTCCGGATGTCCCCGGGCGGTAACCTCCTACCAGGGCCCCAGGGGGGCGGCTGTTTTCCCAGGGGCCACGACGGGCCTCATCTGCAGTTTCTGAGACAAAAGCTTTACCATACACATGACTTGCGAGACTTGTAACTTTTTCCCTAAGCTAAAATTTCCCAAGTCTTCTGTCCCCTGTCAGCCCCGTGTGTGTGTTTTCCTTTCTTTGTGGAATTTTTTTTTCTGGGCTCTCTCTGCTGCTCCGTTGGTCAAGTGTGTACCCTTGCATCAGAAACATTACATTTTTCCGTGACTGGCCCTGGCTCTGTTGGTTGGACGTCATCCCACAAAGTGAAAGGTCTCAGGTTCAATTCCCGGTCAGGGCACGTGCCTGGGTTGCAGAATCAGTCTCCCGTAAGGGTGTACGAAAGGCAACCAATCGATGTTACTCTCTCCCATCGATGTTTCTCTCCTCCTCCTCTTTCTCCCTCCCTTCCCCTCTCTCTGAAATAAATAAATCACATCTTGAAACCCATTACATTTTGCCCTGGCTGGTGTGGCTCAGTGGAGTGAGCTCCAGCCTGAGAAACAAAGGGTCACCAGTTTGATTCCCAGGCAGGGCACAGGCCTGGGTTGTGGGCCAGGTCCCCAGTTGGGGGCGCATGACAGGCAACCACACATTGATGTTTCCCCTCCCCTCCCCTCTCTAAAAATAAATAAAATCTTAAAAATAAAAAGAAAAAACACATGACACTTTTACAGCCTCTTCTGTCTTGATAAGGGTGGGGCTGGACCCCTGCCATATCGTCCTTCCGGAGACTTCTGCTCTTCCATTTGTGTTTGCTTTAGAGTTGAGGGTGCGCGTTGGGCTTGTGATGACCCAGTTCTGACTCCGCTCGCTGGTCTGCGGAAAACGGGGATGTTTGCAACAGGGGGTGTGCCCGCCGCCCGTGGGCATTCATCCTCGTGCGCTAGGTCAGCGGTTCGCTGGGTCCGCGGCGCCCGCCGCGCTTTGTCAGTGTCCTCCTGGGAGTCCGGCGCGTCTTCGGTCTGAGTCAGCCCCGCCCCCCCGGTCCTGACGGGGGTCCTGTCGTGTCACCCTCCTGGCGGCTGACCGCAGTCCCGGCCGCCTTCCTGCAGCCCACCTGTGCCGTGCTGTGCCTGCCTCTGGGGAGCAGCCCAGCCTGCCTCTCCCCGCCACCTGCTCACCTCGCGGGGTCGGGGGCGGAGCCTCCTCCTGGCTGGGCGGCTCCCCTGCCCGAGCCGGGCCCTGTGCCCACACGCTTGGGGCCAGGCACCTTGCTGCCCCTGGGGCCATGCCCAGCCTGCCCGTCCCCCGCCCATCATGCCCCTTGCCACCAGCCCCGCCCCGAGGAGCAGCCCCGCCCCACGGCCCCAGCCCCCGGCCTGCTCAGCCCCCGCAGTGTCCACCCTGAGGAGCCCCCGGGGAGACGCTGCTTGATAAAACCCAGGGCTGGGTGGAGCTCCCAGCCCCGGACCGCCCCAGGCCCTGAGGCCGTAGTGTGTACGTGAGTGCATACACGTGTGCATGCGGGTGTGTGTGGGGGGGGCACAGGACCCTGCCTGCCCGTCCTGGCCTGAGGGGCCCTCCCTAGGCCCCCCTCCCAGGTGTCCGGGGCCCAGCGCTCACCTTGGAAGGGGAGCGCCCCGCCCTCCTGCTCCCACCAGCCTGCACAAGAGGGCGGAGGGTGGAGAAGGCCCCCCCACACGCACTTTCCGGCCACTGTGTTCTGAACACTGGCGGCTTCCGGGCGGAGGGGCAGGGCTGAGTCGGGCGAGCCTGGACGGACCCCCCACCTGCCACTGACCCCCCACCTGCCTCTGCCCCTCTCCGACCTGGAATGGGGACGGGGGGGTGGACAGCACCTCTGCTTCCCTCCTTCCTGGCTGAGGTCCCAGCAGCCCCCGGGGCGGGGGGAGAGGAGCAGGCCCGGCATGCCGCCCGGCGTGCGGCCCGGCGCCCTCACAAAGCGGGCGCTCCTGTCTCCCCGTGCCCGGCTGGCCCCTCGGCACCCCTGGAGCGGAGCCCGGGAGCTGGGCTTGCTCCGAGGCTGCCTGCCCGGAGTCTCCGGGAGACGAGCCCGGGTCTGGGTCCCGCTCAGTAAGCCGGGGGGCCTGGGACCGCCTTCCCATGGCCCTGCCACCCCCCCAGTGCCCGGGGCCCTGCCGCCCGCCCCCCCCCCCGGTGCTTTCCAGCCCTTGCTGGCCCTCAGGCCCCGGGGCGGCTGGCTGGGCTGCACCCCAGAGGCAGGCACAGCACAGTGCAGGTGGGCTGCAGGAAGCGGGGGCTGGGGGCAGAATGCGGCCAGGGGAGATGCTGCCGATAAGCAAGCAGACGTGCGGCCGCCGGCTGCGCTGATTGGCTCGGGGCCGTGGACACTGTCTGCATGGAGGGCAGGCACAGACCCGCCGCCTCCGCGCCGCTCAGCTGTCACCGGGGAGAGGACGGAGGGCGGACACAGCCGGCCAGCGTGAGTGCTGTTCTTTGTCCCCACGCCCCGGGGGCCCGGCGGGGTCCAGCGCCGGGGCTCTGCCCCTCGGTTTGGGGGTGGCAGGAGGCCTGCCTGTTGCTGCCAGCTGGGGTGGTTTCCGTGGCGATGGGGAGGCGGCGGGAACTTTCTGAGAAAACAGTGTGACCCCGAGGCGCCCGCTTCTGCATGTCCCCTCTGAGCGACACGCGGCGCGGCGTTGGGAACTTGGGACAGGGCTGAGGGTGGGCCCTCGGAGCCGGGAGGAGGCAGGAGGGGGGAGTGGCCGCGGTTCTCTGGCTGCTCCCTGGCGCCCGTGGGCGTGGGGCTGGGGGCCAGGGCCCGGGCTGGGGGCGGGGGAGGCGGGGTTCCTGGGGGGTGCGGCCAGCCGCCCCTGCGGCCCCTGCCCTCCTCACAGCAGAGAGCCCCCAGGGGGGCCTCCCTCAGGGTGCTGGAGGAGCCCGGCCACGCTCGTCGGGCCGGGCGCGGGAGGGGCCGAGGGCTGCGTGGTGGCCTTGCCTCTCAGGGTGTCCGCTCTCTCTGCTCTGTCTCCAGGGGACACTCGAGCAGCCCACGGTGGGGGGGGGGGTTCTCCCCTCAATCCTGTTTCCCAAACACTCCAAGGACCAGGCTCCTCCCCGTCCGACCGATCCCCTCGGAAACCGAACAGGAGCCCAGGGGGCCACGGCAGCTTAAAAGGTGGCCCCCCCGCCGCCCCGTAGGCGTCCAGGGGACCAGAGAGAAGCAGGCTCTTCCTGCGTGGGGACGGCGGCGAGGCCCCCCTCGGGGTCGGTGGACGTCCTGGAACAGTGACGACTCGGGCAGGGGTGGGGGGCCCGCCCGCACGTTTTCCAGAGAGACAGAGCCCTGCCTCCTCTGCCCCCCCCGCTCGGGAGGCACGGGTGCAGGCATCCGGGTGGGGAAAATGGCTGAAACGGAAACGGAACCCCCGCCCCCGCCCCCTGCCCAGTCCAGGGGCCCCGCCGGGAGGTGCGGGTACATCCGCTGCCCCTCTTCAAGGTGGCCTCCATGGAGGGGGTGCCCCGGCTCCTCGGGGACTGCCCCTGTGGCCGGCGGTGGCGCAGGAGACGCGGCTGCCGCGGTGGTCCAGGGGAGCGGCCGGAGTGTCCGCGGGCAGGGGCTCGTGAGCGGGCGTTCCTGCGGGAGGGGGTCTCGGAGCGGACATGGACGCGGAGGGAAGGCTCCATCCTCCCGTGTTCTGCACCGGGGCTGGGTCCTGGGGGACTGGGGGCCGGAGGGAAACGGCCGAGCCCGTCGCCCCGTTTGCGGAGTGGCACCCCCTGCTGCTGTGCATCCTGGGACGGGCGCTGGCTGCTCCGCGCCTGTTCGGCCTGGGTGGGTGGACGGGGGCCC